ATAAAAATAAAAAAATTTAAAGAGTTTGAAATAAAGTAAAAAGATTGAAAAAAATTAAAAAGTTTAAAATAAATTAAAAATTAAAAAAAGTAAAAATTAGAAAGAAAAAAAAAAAATAATAATAATAATAATAAAATCTCGAAATAAAAAAATAAAAATGTATACAATGCGTAAATTAAAAAGTTTGAATATTTTTTTACAAATCAGTACATATACGTATACATATTCAATACAAAGCGAAGTATATATTCAAAAATATTTATATATTAAAAAGATTCCAAACGTTATGTAGATTTAAATTCATTTGTTAGTATTTATTAAAAAAAGTTAAAAAAAAACAGTCAAAGAGAAAATCAAACAAGAAAGATATATATGTATATATATATATAAAAAAAAAAAAAAAAAAAAAAAAAAAAAAAAAAAAAAAAAAGCTTTTTATCAAATTTATCAAAAAAATATTATTTTTAAAAAAATGAAAGAATGTATGTAATGTTTGAGTTTAGTAAGTGTTTTTTTATAGTTCTTTTGAATATATCAATAGATTTTATTTTTTTCATATTGTCGTCAAGAACTGACTTCCACAAGCGTGGCCCCCGACATGTAATTGAGAAGTCAGATTTTTTGAGTGATGTTGGTGGGATGTAGTAATTATTTATTGAGTGTCTTGTTTCATATTTATGGTTAATTAGAGAGAAACCTTTATAAAAATATTTTGGAATTAGTTCATTTTGAAGTTTAAACATAAATAACAAGTTATGGTATATATTTAGTTCATATACGTTTAGCGCATTAATTTCCTTGAGTAACGGCTTGGCACTTTCGTACCTATCTGCGCCCAAAACTAATCGACTTGCTTGCTTTTGTTTAGTATAAATATTTTTTAGGAAAGATGAATGATTGTTTGCCCAGGCAATATTACAATAGTTAATATGACTATGTATAAATGAAAAGTATAAGTTTTTTAAACATATTTTATTCAAAAGATGTTTTGAATATATATATATATATATAACATATATATATATATATATAAACATATATATATATATATATATATATATATATATATATATATATATATATATATATATATATGTATATATATATATATATATATATATATATATATATATATATATATATATATATATATATATATGTAATCACATGTGTGCGTACATATATACCAGTGTATATAAAAACCTTCAAATATTTTCAAAATAACAAAAACATACAAAATGGATTCAACTTATCGGAATGATTTTGAAAAAATATCAAATTTATTTCAAACAAATACTTTTAATTTAGATAATGAATCTGATCCAGATATTAATTATTTTAATGAGATTAATGGATCAAAATTCGAATGCTCTTACTTTTATCCAGATAAAATTAAAAGCATATTTAAAAATAATGATAATCGTGATTATTTTTATATAATCCACTTTAATATCAGAAGTTTAAAAAAAAAATTTTCCTATTCGAGAAATAGTTCTTAACGCCAAAGACAACTTGTCCTTGTATAACTAAAGGAATAGAAAAATCATCAAAAATAAAACAAAAACTCTATACTAAATATCTTAAAAATAAATCCGACAAACATAAAAATATCTACACAGTTTACAAAAATCTATTTGAAAAACTCTGAAAAAAAGCCAAACAAATTTACTACTCTGACTTGCTTATAAAACACAAGCATAATTCAAGGCGGGTGTGGCAAATAATGAAAGAAATTTCTAGCAAACATAAGACAAACACAAATACGATGCCGAATGCTATAAAATTTGAAAATAAGTTAATTACCGATTCAAATGAAATCGCAGCCGAATTCAATAACTTTTTTTCGTCAATAGGACATAACCTATCAAACAAGATTCCTTATGTAGACAACGACTCTGTTGAACAATTTATATCATCACCAAATTCAACTATAAATTTTTCAAATCTAACTTATAATGAATTCGAAATTGCATTTAAATCATTAAAAAGGAATAAAGCAATAGGGCCTGATGATATAAATGGAAATATTGTAATCGACTCATTTAATGAGGTTAAAGATATCCTCTTCAAAGTCTTCAAAGCATCTATTACTTAAGGATCGTTTCCAAATAGTTTAAAAATAGCCAAAGTAACTCCAATCTTTAAAACAGGTGACCATACCAACATAACAAACTATCGTCCTATCTCAGTTCTACCGGTCTTTTCAAAAATATTAGAAAGAATAATGTATAATAGAATTTACACTTATCTTATTGATAATAAACTCCTTTATAAAAATCAATTTGGTTTTCAGAGAAACAGTTCTACTGAACACGCTATTCTCTAAGTAACACGCAGTATTGCCGATTCATTTAAGAATTCTCAATTCATACTAGGCATATTCATTGACTTGTCAAAAGCTTTTGTTACTGTTAATCATCATATTTTAATAAAAAAGCTAGAGAGCTATGGTATAAAAGATAAAACCCTAAATTGGTTCAAAAGCTATCTAGGTAACCGCAAACAATTTGTTTATAACAAAGAATCTTCATCGCAAATAATAAAAAGTATAACATGCGGTGTCCCCCAAGGGTCCATACTTGGACCACTATTATTTCTATTATACATAAATGATCTTTACAAAGCTTCTACCCTTACGACCGTAAATTTTGCAGATGATACGAATTTATTTCAGTCGCACGAAAACATAGAAATACTTTTTAATAATATGAAAATGAATTAAAAAGAATATCATATTGGTTTAGAAAAAAAAATTGTCCTTGAATACGGATAAAACAAAGTTTATACTTTTTCACCCAACCTCTAAAAAAAAGAGAATCCAAAATATCTTACCTGACCTATTCATTGACAATACAATCATAAAAAGAGAAAACTTTACAAAATTTTTAGGAGTCATAATAGATGAAAACTTATCTTGGAGTCAGCAAATTGATAGTATTTCAATGAAAGTTGCTAAAAACATTGGAGTTCTATACAAAGCTCGATATATACTAAATAAAAAGCAACTAACTCAAATATATTAATCATTTATTCATTGCCATATAAACTATGCCAATATTATATGGGGAAGCGCTCACAAAACCAAACTTAAATCTCTCTATCGGCATCAGAAACACGCAGCTCGCATAATCAATTTTGGAAATCGTTTTTCAAGCTCAACGCCACTTCTTATAGAAATAAAAGCTTTAAATATATACGAAGTAAATATTTTTAATATTTTATGTTTTATGTTTAAATGTAAAGAAAATTTATCTCCAAGTGTATTTATAAATCTCTATAATTTGAAACCAAAAAACAAATATGAACTTCGTGGTAGTAAAAATATTCAAGAGCCGTTTTGCAAAACAAAAATTGACCAGTTTTGTATTTCTTATCCATTTCTTTGGAATAAAATAGTTTTACCTAACTTTGATTTTTCTTTTAAATGGTCTTATTCCTCCTTTAAAAAGAAAACAAAAGAAATAATCTTTTCAACACAAAATATATTTATTTATTTTTAGTATTTCAAGTTATTTGATATTTTTGTCGACTGTGTGATGAATATTATTTAAACAATATATGCTGAATACTTTTTATTATAATATCGTTTAATATTGAGAATGTTATATATCCATATTATAAAATATTATGTTAAAACTTGCTTAACATCTAAAGAATATACTAACGCTTATGTAATTTTTAATATTTGTAAATTTTCTACCTTTTATTTCGTTATATAGATTGTTAAGGGCTTCATGATAATATCATGTGATCTTCTGGAATTCCTACCAGTAATATTTTCAATGTAATTTTACCTTGTGCATATTTTTCTGGAAAAAAAAACTTGTTAAAAATTAAAAATAATAAAATCGTTATTAAATCTATTCTAATATGAAATAATATGAATGAAATTTTTTCTTATTCGGTTGTTTTTTAAACTGTTTTTTATTGGTTTCATAATTGTTTTTTTCAGAAAAGAATTGTTTTATTTGCACAAAGGTTTGCGTATTTCATTCTCCCCGAATTTGGGGAGAATGAAATACGAATGACATTCGAATGTCAGGGTATAATAAAATTTTTTTTTTTTATATTTTTATATACCGATTCTTATATATTCAAATTTAAATTTATTCTCTTTAAAAAAAAAATTAAAAAAAAATTAAATTTAAATTTATTCTCTTTAAAAAAAATTTTTTTTTTAAATCATTTTTCCGTAAAAAAAAATAATTTAAATTCTTAACTATTCCATTTGACCCCATTTTACTCTATTTGGGGAGAATTTTATAGCCAAATAAAAATTTAACCGTTATTTGCTATGGAGGTTGTCAGGGACGCGTAAACAAGTAAGGTTTAGTAAAGTTTGCTTTCCTAAAGTTAATTTTAAAGCTAGATTTAAAAAAAAAAAGAGTTTTAGAATATGATTCTCTAATAAATTTTAAATAACATTAAACAAAAAAAATTGAAAAATTTGATTTTTCTGAGGGATAGCTTAATCTTAATTGCACCCCTCTAGCGCTGGCACTGTATATTGTTCTCTATATTCGCTACAATATTCAACAAATATTTAAAACATTTTGTTACTTCTATACTAAGAATTATTATTCCGTAGTAAAAAAGTTTAGTTTTTAGTTCGCAACTCAACTTCGAAAAAACATATTTCTTCATAATATTTACAGAAGTAAAGAAAATAGTTAAATTCGAATGCAGAAAGTAATTTAAATAAGTGCTTTGGGTTAAAAATGGAATTTCGTTAATTCGTTTTCAGATAAAACATTCCGGTACAAAGAAAAAGAACTGGTTGGTGACACACAAAATCGAATTTTTTTAAGTTTAGTTTATAAATGTTAGAACGATTAGTACGTTCTAATTAAATTTAATGTTAACGGTTTAATTTATTATATCAAAGTACAAAAATCAATTAAAGATTGTTAAAACATTTAAATTTTAACATATAATTAATTCTAGTCCTAGAAAAAAGTCATAGTAAAAGAAAACTTTTCTTTTTTTAGTTAAACATTAAAATGGAAATACTCGAAGGCGAAAGAAAAAACTCAAAAATTTTTTACCAAAATAGTTACTATTATCGTAAAGACAAAAAAGCAACAGAATCGTATGGTGGCGGTTTCAAATGTAAGGATGAATTTTGTAGAAGTCGTGCAACAAGTGAACCAAGCCTAGCGTTAGTACAAATAACGCCGCATAATCATTTGCCAGATTTTGAAAAAAAAGAAATTTTGAAATTAAAACAATCAATAAAACGAGTTGCTGAAACTACAAGTGGAAGTTTGCGAGATATTTTTGACCAAGAAACTGCTAGTAACCAATCAGCACATCACGTTTCTTTTGGAATGATGGAAAGTACTATGTATCGCAGACGTAGATCAGTGCAGCCGCAATTACCAGCCAATTGCGGGGAATTAGACAACTCTTTGAGAGTAAACAACATAAGTAAATTTTTAGACGGGACCAATTTTTACAAAGGGTACGTTCGTATAAATAACGATTATGCTCACATATTTATCGGGAAAACAGTCGTTGCTTCACCGACTGATTTGCACGTTGACGGAACATTTAAGGTAGTTCCGAAAATATTTTATCAAATGATAACATTTGGATACATTTTGCTTGATCATGTAAGATAATCATGTAAAATAAAAGATAATATAAGAAGGGTGTAAACAAGGAATTCTAATTTTTCCGCGGTGTTTTTTAATACCGTTAGATTTTTTTAGAGCACCTTAATGAATTAAAAAAAAAACAAAATATATTCCCTGTTTTTTCTTGTTCACCCTCCATATATTAATATTTTTGTTATTATTGTTATTATTGTTATTACTACTGTTTTTTATAAATTATAGTTGTTTTTATTAATGTTGTTCTACAAGTTCTCCAAAAATATTTCAATGCTATATAAAGTTAAACCTTTTCTTAATACGGAATCTTTAAAAATTATATATTTCTCATTTATTCATAGTTACCTTTCCTATTGTAATCTTGCATGGGCAAGTACCAATTATGGGAAGCTCAAAAAAATTTATAGCAAACAAAAACATGCTTGTAGGATTATTTTTGGCGTTAACAGAACTGTTAATGGTGAATCTCTTTTAAAGAAACTTAATGTGCTTAATATTTACAAACTTAATATATACCAAGTTATCCTATTTACGTTTAAAACAAAACATGCGTTATCTCCTAATATATTTCAGTCTTACTTTACCGAAATATCTCATAAATATCCCACTAAATTTTCATCTGATAATTTTGTTATTCCAAGATCTTATTTAAAACTCAATTCATTTCAAATTCAATACCGGGGACCATTTATATGGAAAGGTTTTTTAAAAAATATAATTAAAAATAAAATTCTTCGAGGCATCTCCTTAGAACAATTCAAAAGAGAATCTAAACGTTTTCTATTAGAAAAAACTTTCGATTTTAAAGATTTCTTCTAAAATCACCAAAAATAATTAAACCTGAAAAAGTCATCACTACTCATTTACTATTGTCTTGTGTATCTTGTTTATTTCTTATTAAAATAAAAAATATATATACTATTAATTTTGAACAGACAAATAACATTTATTCGATTTATTACTTGTGTCTTATATTTGTCGAACTAATATTGTATTGTACTTCAATTTTTAACCTTTTAGTTTTTAACTTGTAACTTTGTGACGTTAATGTAAACGGGGCTTGGCGATAAGACAGTTTATGTCTTCTTCTTGCTCCGGCCAATTTTTATACATGAATGGTTTTTTTCTCATTGTAAATTTAATTATACGGCAAAGAAAATATAATAATAATATATAATAATAATAATATAAGTAAAGAATCAAGAAATAAAGATTTTTTTGTTTTAGTTTATTCCAACTATTTTCATACTTATGACTAGAAAAACGCAAGAGCTGTATTCTCTTGCATTTTCCAAAGTTGCTGAACTCGTTCCACATTTGTCACCGTTACGGATAATGACGGACTATGAACAAGCATTGATGAATACCTTGGAAATTCAATATCCTTTAGCTGAAATTTCAGGCTGTTGGTTTCATTACGTAAATGTAAGCAAAAAAATATTTAACTAAACATAAAATAACCTTTGTTATAAAATAGCAATTTTAAAACTAAATTAAAATACAATTTAAAAAATATATATATTTATTTGTACTGAAAGTTTATGTTTACAATTATTTATATTTAGGCTGTGGTTAACAAGTGTAAACATCTTGCATTGTTTGGACTTTTAAAATTGCAAGTTCACAGTGATTTGAAGAAATGGATAAGGCTATTATTGTGTCTTTCTTTGCTACCGCCTCACCATATTCAGCCAACATTAGGCAATTTGAATCCAAATTTGTTTGTGGTATCATTAAGCATAAATGACTTCGCAAAATGTCAAAGTTTAATGACCTATATGGAAACATTTTGGATTGGGCGTATTGGCAGTAACAAAATTTCTGTTTTTGGTTGTCCCAGAAGAACGAACTCTGATCAAGAAAGCTTCCATGCCTCGCTTTTAAAACGAATAAAGATTGCTCATCCAAACATTTGGCTTTTTATAAGTAAATATATATATATATATATATATATATATATATATATATATATATATATATATATATATATATATATATATATATATATATATATATATATATATATATATATATATAAAATAAAAATATAATTTTTTGAACTTATGTTTTATTTGCATTTAATTCTTTTAATATTTTAGCAGAACTAAGAAAGTTTGCAGAAGTCCAGCAACTTGATAAAGTACGTTTAGAATGTGGACTTCAGATTCGTCGGAGACGAAAGCAGAAATTTTAAATGATCGTAAAATCAGAGTTGCTACTGAAAATTTGGCCAACGGACGTCTAACTTCATTGGAATTTCTACAAAGTGTTTCACATTGCGCAGATGCGTTATTTAACTATCAACTTGGCGTTAGTCGTATAAATCAACCACCGGAATTGGAAACAGTTTCATCATTTACGCAAGTTCAAATAGAGCCCTCACAGCCTAATTCAATTCCACCACAAGATGAAGCCCAGCAACTTAATGTATCAATACAACGGGATGTAGCTATAATGCAAAATACAGATGATGTAGCTATAGTGCAAAATACCTTCCAACTCGGAGAAAACTTACATAGTTCTACAGAAATTGTTGGAGTCACGGAGACTTTAAGAGTAGTGGATGAAACTAATGGAACAACATGTCCTGTTTGTTTAGAAAATACTCCAAACTTCGCTGCTGTTCCCTGTGGACACATGGTTTGCACAATGTGTATACCACATTTACAGTTAAAATGTCCTCGTTGCCGAGCAACCGTTCTTATGTTTATACAAACATTTGCTTGATCTGCTTGATAAATGTTCACATACAAACTTTTTTGTTGAAATTTAACAGTATAGTTGTATTCAAAACTAAATTTATTTGAACTTACAAAAAAATATTTTTATTTGAACTTACAAAGAATCGTAATATTTACAAATAAAATAAATAAATAATAAAACATTAAATTTGAGATTTCGAAATGCAATTTTGTTTGTCGAATAATTAAAAATTATGTTTATTATTTAAAAAAATTGTAGCCACTTAATACTATCATCAATATGAAAGTATAATTTTTACAGACCTATATGGGGCTGTTAATACGTGACAGTTTTAAGGGGGAGGGGGTATCAGAAAGTGTCACCAAATGTCACATGGGGGAGGGGGTTAGCTTCAGTGTAACGTGACAAATTTTTAAAAAATTTAAATTCTAATCACAGCGGAATCAATGAAAATGTTAGCGAAAAGTTGCAAAATCGGGTAAAAATAACGTCACATCTCATATTTGAGACATTTTCTGTCAACCTCCTCCCTTTTTCCAATATGCATATTGGAAAAAGGGAGGAGGTTGACAGAAAATGTCATAAAATGTCACATGGGGGAAGGGTGGGGTGTCTAAAAACAGCCAAAAAGGTGTTACATATTATTTGAACAGCCCCTAACTTAAAAACAAACTAATATTTAAATTAAATCTAAAATCAATTAAAACATTATCATAAAGGTCTTTATTCTATGTAGTAAAGTTCAAGTTCCGCATAATTGCTTTGCCCGAATAGAACTGTAACCAGGGGGTTTAGGTGGTTTAGAACCCCCTAGTATTTAAAACTAATGTTTTTCTTTTTAAGGAAAAGCATAATAAAAAATCTTAAAAAATCATATATTGTGATATATCAATTAATGTTTCAAAGAAACAATGTAACTCCGCATGTCAATAGTCAAATGTAATCAAAAACTTTTGAATATTGATTATTTGTGTTTCATTTAAAACAAACTGAAATTTAAAACCACTTTAAAATAGTTTGCTTAAACTAATTTTCAACTTATTTTAGACAAATGATTTTATATAGTTCTCATTTTACCCGCTACCTTGTCCCACCTCTACTCACACCTACCCCATTTGCAAGGTTTCTGTAAAAAAAAATTATATACTCGATTATAATACGCGGGAATTTTAAGGGGATTGAATCAGTGCCCAAATTGAAGGTGCTTTTCTTACAACTGTTTGGTTTTGTTTGGTTTGGTTTCGAACATCAAATAAAAAAGACATAACCGTAAAAGTATTATTTAATGTCCTTCTTCTCCTCCTCTCCCCAACTTTTTCCATAATTTTAGAAAAATACCTTTTATTAGCCATAAAGTTAACATAAATGAATGGGTTTCATAATGAAAAATAATTGAAGTAAGAAGTCTTTTAAAATATAAAATTTACATTGTCTATTGTTAAGTTAATAATGCTCCAGGTATGAAGGATATGTATATATTTGAACATAATTTTAAAATTTAATTTCAAAAGACAAAAAATGAAAACTGAAAAACTGAAACAGAAAAACTGTTATGAAAAACTAAATGTAGTAAAACGCGTGAAAATTTAGTACATACTGATAAAGACTGAAATAAAGATTTTATTTCAGTGTGATCACTTGACCTCATGTAATTAACATTAGGATCTCTAATTAAAATTGTTTCTAATAAATTAGGTTAATTAGGTTTAGATATCATTACTGAAAATATGTTAGAGAAATTGTGGCTAAGGTATTTCGAGCCATCCGGTGGGCAATATAGGACACAAAACAATATACTCTTCGTCTTTGGAAGTATTTTTTCGAAACAAACGCTCTCTATTTCGTTGGATTTGAGATCGTTACGTCTTACCCAGTTTAACTTATTAGATATGTAAACGGCAACACATCCACCCAGTCTGTTTTTACGTATGCTGCTTAGATATGCATAACTCTCGATATGACATAGTTCACTAAAGTCGTCCTTGCTTATATGGGTTTATGGGTTTGTCAATGTTTTTGTTGCAGTTAAACAAATAAATGATGCTAAATGTTCCATAGGCCACTGATATTTAAATGAAAACATTGTAAGCCTTTCATATACAGAATATCTTCAAGTTTCTCCATCACTGAAATAATATGGTTCAAATACATTGGTCCAGGTCATAGTTCTATGTTACCTGTTGATGTTTCAGAATAACAGATCAAAGGTCATAGTTCTATGTTACCTGAGAGATGTTTCAGAATAACATATCAAATTTGAATTTTGCAATGACGTCACTTTAACAGTTATTGTAGCGTATATCAGAAGTGTAATATAGATATAGTTAAACATTTTAAGAAAGTATACTTAGATACATGCAATATTTATAAAGAAAACAGCTTTAAATTGAAATATTTCATACGAACCTGATGGCGTAGAATAAAGTAATAATATGATGTAACTTCCAAATCTATATTATTATTTTTTCTTCTTTTAAAACTTTATATTAAAATATAAAGTACCACCCCACACCACCCCCACCCCCACCCCCTCCCACACACACACACACACACACACACACACACGGATACGACTTTCTCAAGACTTTTGTATGAGACCAATTTAGGATGTCTAACGGAAAAGAAATCTAATATAAATGAGTGCAGCATAGAGCCACCGAACTAGTTACATCAATTAGCCGTTTGTGCGATGAAGATCGATCCTCCTAGCACAAACAACTAATTGATGAAGCTAGTTCAGTTGCTCAACGCTACACTCATTTAACTATTTTACATACATGATACACGTACACGTGTATCATGTCTCTTCAAATCAAGAGGGGGGGGGGATCAAACTTTACATGGTCATAATTTTTGAACACGAATATTAGAAAACTATTTCTAATAATCTATCATTTTGTTAATCGATCACTGTTTTTACGTATGCATATATGTATACATAAAAACAGTGATTGATTAACAAAATGATAGGTTATTAGAAATAATTTTGTATACATATATGTGTACAAAAAAACAGTGATCGATTAACAAAATGATAGAACAATATTCGTGTTCTAAAATTATGACCACAAAAAGTTTGATTCATTCCTACCACCCCCCCACTCCCCCTCCTTCGATTTGAAGAGATATTAAACTTTGATGGGTCATAAAAACCGAACACAGCAGATTATTTTTGGAAATTTTAAATTTGTAGATAAATTGAAATTAATTAAATTATGGTAAAACAACTACTTTTTTTTTAGTATTTTTTGGTTCCCAGGCTGCAATCATTACAGTACTTGGCAAAGCATCCTTATTTGACATTAACTTAAACATATACATGTTTGGAATAATTAAACACTAAAGAATGAGGTCAACGCCCCTGATGAATCGATATCATTTATAACAAAAGACTTGGGCTCAGCTAAAATCCATATTTATTCATAAGTTTATTTATGCTTGGGTTAAGTAAAGTGTTACAAAAACGTTAGGGCATGCTAAGAAAAGTACTTTAAAAAAATGCTAGTATAAAAAATAAATTTTCATATCATTTTTTCTTATTTCAATATATGGTGTCTTTGACCTAATATGTAGAGTTAAGACATTAGAATAGAAAAAAATTGTTTCTTTGGCTTCATTTTATTTTTGATTTTGACTAATATTTGAAAAATAAAATATTACCATTTCCCTGGTAAAATTGATATGTTGAACCTAAAAATTAAGTATGGTTAAAATTAAATCAGTTTTTGAGTGACTAACACAATATTGATTTTGCATGGTTTTGCTTACCTCAGGCCCAACTATGCAATGACTAAATTAACACTCAGTAATAAAATTACAATTAAAATTTTATTTTTTTAAAAATACAAGTTGATTAAAAATGTTACATTTAAAAAAGTTGACGAACTTGATTTCCTTACAAATTAAAAATTCATAAACTTAATGTTCAGGCCCGTGTACAGGCCTGACATATGAACATATATTGCCCGTATATGAACAACAATTGTAAATTGTTAACTATAAATATAGTTTGAAATAAATAAATAAGACATGGAAATTCATGAACTTTGCTTTAAAAGAAAATTTTTTAAATGTTTTGTGTGATGCTCGGATTAATTGAAGGAACTACAACTTAATTAAATTGGTTGTCACAGCATGCTTTACTCTATGTTCACTATGCATGCTCACTAAACAAGTTACAGCAATAAAGAAGAGAATAAGTCAAACTATTGAGTAGTATTTTGATAAACAAAAGCTTGTTTATCAAAACGGCAAACAACTTGTAAATATTTTATATAAAGAATATTTTAAACATTGTGTGGAGTAACCTCGTAATTGATTGGAAAGTTCAACAATCTCTTTTAATACTTTTATTAACAAAGACTGTAACACAAGCCCACTACCGGGCCTAACCAACTTTAGAAAAAACGTTTATTAAATATATTAGGAGCCTTTGATAAAAAAAGATCTAAACGGTCTTTTTTTATCAAAGGTTTAAGATCTAGAAGCCTTACTAAGGTATCCCGTTCCCGCACAGTTTTTGAACAACAACACCAACTTTTAAATTGAGTTTTAGACAAAGAAAATAATAATATTTACTGAGTATTTTTTAAAAATAAAAAAATTCAAGAGTCCCCCACTAAGAAAAAGTTGAAAAATCTGTTCGGTGCACTTATGCTACCGCCCTCTTATTCCAAAATTTTGAAATTTTTTCGGCGCACTTAGTCAAGTATGCACTTATGCAGATATTTGCAAATTCTATTGACGCACTTATGCCAATGTTTACAAATTCTTTCGGCGCACTTATGCCAGTTTGCACTTATGCCGCACTTATGCCAGTTTATGCAATTGATTCGCACTTATGCCAGTTCGCACTTATGCCAATGTTTGCAAATTCTTTCGGCGCACTTATGCCAGTTCGCGCTTGTGCCAGTTCGCACTTATGCCAGTTTTTGCAATTGATTCGCACTAATGCCAGTTCGCACTTATGCTAGTTCGCACTTATGCCAATGTTTGCAAATTCTTTCGGCGCACTTATGCTAGTTCGCGCTTGTGCCAGTTCGCACTTATGCCAGTTTTTGCAATTGATTCGCACTAATGCCAGTTCGCACTTATGCTAGTTCGCACTTATGCCAATGTTTGCAAATTCTTTTGGCGCACTTATGCCAGTTCGCGCTTGTGCCAGTTCGCACTTATGCCAGTTTTTGCAAGTGATTCGCACTTATGCCAGTTCGCACTTGTGCCAGTTCGCACTTATGCCAGTTCGCACTTATGCCAGTCGCACTTATGCAGATTCGCAGTTATGAAATTCGCACTTATTCAGTCGCCCCGTATTTGAACGTGTAGTTTATAATAGAATCAATGATTACTTCATTAAAAACGATTTTTTTTACCCAAATCAGTTTGGTTTTCAAAAAAATCTCTCTACTGAGCATGCAATCATTGAAATAGTAAATCAAATAACTAATGGTTTTGAAAATAATAAATTTACTTTAGGAGTATTTCTTGATTTATCAAAAGCATTTGATACTGTGGACCACTGTATTCTCTTAGATAAATTAAGACATTACGTAAAAATTAATAAAACTTATTATTGGATTAAAAGCTATCTTACAAACAGAAAACAATATGTAAATAATGCTCAATCTGGAGTGTTAAATGTCATATGTGGAGTTCCGCAAGGATCGATTCTTGGTCCACTTCTTTTTTTGGTTTATATAAATGACTTCTGTAATGCATTCTTAAAACTTAATTCAGACATGTTTGCAGATGACACGAATTTATTTCTTACCAACAACGATATCAAGAAACTATATGCGGACATGAATATCGAACTAAATAAAGTAAATAACTGGTTTAAGGCTAACAAACTCTTACTTAATGCCGAGAAAACAATATATATATATATATATATATATTTTTTTTTTCCATATATTTTTTACAACTACATAGCTTTAACAATACATACTTTTATTACAAATAGTTTTAACAATATATACTTTTATTACAAATACAGTCAAAATGCTTTGAAAATAACTGAAATAATACTAAGATATATTTGATGTAAAAAGTAATAAAATAATGTAAAATAGTTTTTCAGTTTATATTTTGAAAAGACAAAAAAAGTCTTAAAAAAAGAAAAATTAAACCTTTAGTTATGTAGTCAAGGGAAACTCGCAGAAAACTGTGTAAAGTCTTGTCATCGAGAACCCTTTTTTTAAACAATTTCATGAGATAATACTCATAAATATTTTATTCATTACTTATTGCATTTTTCAATATAATTAGTTGTGTTTTTAGGAAGGAGCATAACATAAACTAGTATGTATATATGTATATTCATACTTTTTTTTTTTGTACATGATTTTGATATTTTAATTACTCGAAAATTCCCATATAACTGCTTGTATTTAAGACAAGTTTTTTAAGATAAGATTTTAAGGAATTTTTATTTTTCAGGAGAGATATTGAGGAATTTTTTGGTATTAATTTGTTATACAGGTAAGGACCACGATATGCTATTGAGAATTGAGACAGTTTTCTTTTTTTAAGGGGTACTATATAGTTTCCAGTTGCTCTTGTGCTAAATTTGTTTATATTAGTTTTAAAAAAGTTATTCATAAATCGACTTGGAATAATTTCTATTTTATGTTTGAATATACTTTTTCATAAAAAAACACAAGAAGAAAATCTTCCTCTCAAGTTGCCGAACCTAATTAAAAATGATAAATTAATTAAAAAGCAATCGAATATAAGATTCTTGGTAATCGTTGTTGATAAAAAATTATCCTGGCTTTCTCATATAATATATATCCTGTCAAAAATTACCAAAACCATAGGTTTAATGTATCGAGTTCGCTCGTACATCAACACAAATAGTCTTAAATTAATCTACTTTGGGCTAATTCACAGCATTATCAGCTATGCAAACATTTCATGGACAAGTACTCAAACAGTAAAGCTTAAGAAACTTTATAGTTTTCAGAAACATGCCTGTAGAATCATTTACTTTAAAAATAGGCGGGAACACGCTAATCCCTTGATGAAAGATATGAAAATGATGAATGTATTTGAAATAAATATCTACCAGCATTTAATTTTCATGTATCGTTACAATCACAATATCTCTCATATAAGCTTTAATAATAAGTTTGAGTTAAATAAAATGATAACTATAATCTTAAAGCGAATATGTTGAACACATATAAATTGCCTAGGATAATAAATAAATATTCAAAATACAGCATTTTTATATCGAGGTCCAAAAGTATGGAATATTTTTCAAAAAAGGGTTCTAAGGTACGGTGAGTTCGTTAAGTTCATTCAAGTTTTTAACAAAAAAAGAAATCTTTAAAACTTGTGAAATATTTTTTGTTAATAATGCATTGGATAAATTCTCTTAAATGCGTTTTTGTTTTGTTTCTACTTTTGTTTGTTGCTTGACAAATTTTATTAGCGGATTACGCATTTTGTTATGATATTTTATTGAAATTTTTATTTTGTATGTTATATTACGATATTTTAATTAAATCTTGTTAAAGGGGTTCTATGAATAGATTGCGATGACGTTCTGTCATCCTCATCTTCTTTGAACCCATATCTGTTTTACTTGTTTTGTTAAATTTTATATTACGTAGTGGAATTTGTAAAATTCTCATGTTATATAAACAGAGAAAGAATATATATATATATATATATATATATATATATATATATATATATATATATATATATATATATATATATAAATGCCAGTTCGCATTTATGCCAATTTGCACTAATGTCAATGTTTGCAAAATGTTTTGGCGCACTTATTCCAGTTCGCACTTATGCCAGTTTTTGCAACGCTTCGCATATATGCCCGATCGAACATATGCCAATTCGCATTTATGCAGCCTCCCGAAAATACCATATAAACTTAACTTTGTGAAAGTCTCAGTCTCTAACTCTTTTTCATTTATTACTAATCTTTGACCAAATATTGTTCAATATTTTGCTAAAATCGGCTTTAATTAGTCCTAATTAGGTACTTAGTAATAATTTTTTTTTAATATCATTTCAAATGTACATTAACAGTTTAGAAACATAAGATATCAAGAAGATAGCACATAAAAGAAATTAGTTTATTTACCAATGTACCACCTTAAATAATTGAAATTGGATTGCAATTATATTCCTAAAATTTGTCGCATGTATTCAAAATTGGTCGAATTGACGTTTGTTTTTGACTATTTTATAGTACTAGTTTTAGTTAAATTAAAAATGCTGGTTATTTGAGCAGTAAATTTTCTTAAATTATTATTGTATTACATTGTAAATTATAAACTGTATCTGGTATCAATACCTACTCAATGATAGAACCAACGTTCAGTTCGAATCTGAAATTTTTAATTTAAAAATGTTGTACAATATTTTCATACAGCCGTATGTGATATGCAAAATTACATAAATTTTGATTAATATTTTGTTGTTTTGTTTGATAAACTCTAGTTTTTGACAGTAAAACAATTTTTTTTTAAATGTTAAATGTGTTACCATTTGAACCTAAAACATATCTTTGTTTAACTTTTTTAATAACTTCTTGAGGCTTTGTCTTTGTACCAGTTATACACTTTTTCATAAAGAGGTTTAATAATTAGACCTCAAGTGCTTCAACTGAAGTAACACAGCTAAAATACAGACTTTCTATAAGAGTAGCAAATCAAAGCATCAATGTAAATAAATTTCTGCAAATCTATTTTAATTCTTACCTAATTCAATAAAGTTTAAACAAACTTCATTGTTAACAAAGTTTCAATTAAATTGAGTGTCAACAAAGTTTCAATTAACTTCATTGTCAACAAAGTTTAGATTTAATTAGCATTGATTATTTTGAATAAAAAAGAAAAAAGACCAAGGCAAATTAGAACAGTTAAGAATTGAGATCAGCTGGGATATGTAACCTAGAACATTTACAAACATTCGGATTCCTAAAAAAAAGCTAGCCACTTGGTAAATATTTAGTTATTATTCAGATATTATCATTACTTATTGTTTCAGTCATTTGTTGTGCTTTATTTGGACCAAAAACAAAACTAGGAAAATATCATTTTTATTAATTTTACTGATTTATTCATGACTTTATTATTATTCTCCTCTAAGATTCCAAGAATCCATCCTATTCCAAGAATAGCATTATCGAAATAATAATTCGTTGTTTTCTAATATAAAATTTACAATACCTACTGTTGTTTTGTTAAGTTAAATTTTTTTTTTTTAAATATAAAAATGTTTACTAAACCTTTAGTTTATTCCTCATCATAGTATAAATTTAAAAATGTTTACTAAACCTTTGGTTTATTCCTCATCATAGTATAAATTTAAAAATGTTTACTAAACCTTTGGTTTATTCCTCGTCATAGTATAAATTTAAAAATATTTACTAAACCTTTGGTTTATTCCTCATCATAGTTTAAAACTTATAAAAGCATATTAAATCCTATTGAAATTATGATAAAACAATTGTTAAAAATAAGCTGTTAATTAGACCACAAGCCAGATATGGATTTAATTGTTTTATGCGTATTCTGTAAAATAGTTGAAAAAATAAAGTTTAAAAAAAGTTTCCACCTTTTTATTAAATCAGGACTAAAATCCAACTTTCTTTTTTTATTTCCCATCAAATACAAGGTATATTTGTATATGGCACGAGTGTAAGATGCAAAATTGTTAAAAACCGTATTTAAAAAAATTTTTACAATTTGATCGGTAATTGAGAGTTCAAGATGATTTTTATGTTCTTCTATAATACTTGGTCAATGTGGGAACATTTAAAAACTTTGCTCCTGTAATATTTGGTCAACTGCTCGTAATAAATCGCCTGATAACCACTCATATGCTTAAACTTTTAACGGTATATTCGGCAGAAATATTTAAATATAATTTTAAAATACAGCTAAAGCAAAATAATTTTATATACTAAAAAATTTAAAAACCAAAAAACACATAAAATTTAAATATCAAAAACATCAATAAATCGATATCCTTAGTCAAAAAGTACTGAAAACCTTTGGAGCAAAAAGAATGTCAAGTTTACTATCCGTTGTATATACCCACCATGAAAATTAGAAAAGATTAATTAAAAAAAGTTTTTGTTTATTAATTTTTTTTTCAAAATCCTACTCAAGTTTTTTTGTTTTTGAGGGATATTTTAAAGTTATTACATTTGCAAATTATTTACGTAATATACAAATATAACTATACGTATATTTATGTATAATTATATTTCTAAGCAACAAAAAAAATATAAAATATTCTTCAAAATTTTAAACTAAAAATTAAGAAATGGTTGCAGTACTTTTTTAATAATACTTGTAACGAAACCTAAAAATACATATATATATATATACATATATTTTTCAAATTCAAAATCCAAAAACCACTTTAAAAAACAAATTTAACACTTTTATCTAGAACATACACACTTTTACCTCAGACATCTTAATAACTCGAAGAGTAATTATTTAAAAAATTGGTTAACATACCGTATTTCTGACATTGGCTTTTTACGTTTTCTAAACCATCAAGGAACATATTTAGTTTACTGATTTCCGAACTCATTGTGTTGTTTTGGCCTACGATTGCCTGACAACGTTCGTACAAAGTTTGACCATTAGTGTCTTTAGAACAGCCGACCAAAACTTTAATGTTATTCAAAACCTTTTAAGATAAAAAAACTGCGAATTACTTTTAAACTAAATTATAAACCTTTATTTAACAAAAAATAAATAAAATAAATACAATAGTTAAACAAGTAAAATTGACGAAAAATAAAATAACAAACTTTTTATACTATGAATTTTAGTTTAATAAATCAGTCAAATGCAAAAAACTGTTACTTTCTTAAACTTCCCTACTTTTCCTAATATCCATTATGCACTATAATCTTCATGTGTATCTTCAGTCGACTTATGTAACTGCAATTTACTTATGTCCCTACAGTCTAAGGGACTGATTAATGTTCTTCTACATTATTCATCTTACTTAAGAGTTGGTTCTTTATAATCATAGATTAACTGACGTAAGAAATGATCAAATCCCAGCAAACATTATATAACAAAATTTTAGTGGACCTATATAGGTATTTTGAGTGGACTACTATAGTTTTGCTCATCATTTGCTTATTGGACCATTAGTGGCAGCCAATAACTAGCCACTATTAACATGTCGGAAAGTTATCGGTTTGCCATTTATAGCGGCTGCCACTAATGGTCCACTAAGTAACCGCTGAGCAAAGCTTCAATGAACCACTAAAAAATGTCTATATCTACTGCAAATCCACTAAAATAATGTTTGCTGGAGCTTTCGCACAATTAAATATTTGCAAAATTTTGATGTAAAATTGTTTTTACGTTCCCATACTTCATAAATGTATATATATATTTACTATTATTTCTTCTAGACACTTGCGTGAGTTGTAAAATAAAGGCAAATTAAATTTTGTAGTCCTCACATATTCTAAACAAGTTAACTTCCATCAGACACCATTTTGAATATTTTTATATTTTTCTTAATTTAATAACTGGCATAATAATAATAATAATAGCAATAATAATAATAATAATAATAAATAATGATTTATATTATTTATATTGGAGAACAAAATAAAATAAAAAAAGCTTTAAAAAGGTAAAAAATACTTTAACCACTTTGATTAAATTTTTTTAAAGGTTTAGTAATGCTTATTTGCTATAGTAATGGTAAGTTTACTTTTGAACAAGAGTCAAAACTTGTCATACTCTTGGTAGAACTGTGTTTAACTTGTTTTTCTGTGAAGCCTTGATTATCAACATTAGCATTTTAAAGATTTTGAAAGGTAAAGAAGAAAAAAAGAAGAAAGGAAGGGAAGTAAATATAATTAAAAACTGTTTGAATTGATTCAAGTTGATTCAATTTGTTGGAATAATGATTGTTACTTAAAACGTTTAGCATTTTTAAATGCAGTATTTACTTAACTTTCAATGGTTGGTAAACTTTTAACGGTTGGTAAACATTCAATGGTTGGTAAACTTTCAATGATTCAAAAGATTGACTTTTGTAGTACCACATCTGTGAACAGAAGTTTTTAATGAACATGACCTTTCAAAGGTCATGTGGTAAGGTATGAAAGTATAACATTATTAATTTTTTATTATTTAACAATATATAAAAAATTTGGCCTTTATTAATGTAGTTTCAATCTTAGTTTAGACAAAAAACTTTTCACAATTTTTCTTCTGAATACATGATTTTTTTTACACTGTTTTTAAAAAAAATTTCATTATTTACATACCTACTATTTTTATAAATGAAACTAATTTTTATAAATTGCATATTAGCCTTGACACTTTGTTAAAAAATAAATAATTTTGTATATTAACTTACTGATGAAGTTGCCTTATTTGCATTAGTCAGAGATGAAACATGATTCTTTAGTTCATTAATGTGGTTGTCTAAATTACCGATATCACCTGTACATTCTGTAACAAAAAATATTAGCAATAAAATTACAAGAACTTGTGAATGTATTAAATTGAATGTTGAAAGCCCTATTTTATATAAATAGATATATATTTTTATTTCTCTTTTATTTTATTTTTTTGTGTGAACTTATGCAACATAACTATGGTTACATACATAATTACTGTTTCCACAGGAAAAGATTTTTGTTTCTGGAATATGTCTGAGCTAGCTTTTAGAACCAGAAGATCCTACGTATAGGTGTCAAATCCATTATAAGTAATTTGAAGTAAGGCTGGACACTCTACTATAAAAGTTTGTCTTTTAACACAGAAAAATGTACAAAAAGAGTAAAATTGTTTCAAAATGTAGACAAAAATTGTTTATATACTCTTATGAGTAATTCCATGTCAAATCCGCAGAAAAAAACAAAAAATGTTACCCCATGTTTTGGATTTTGCTAATTTTTTATGTTACAGGGTTTAAAATAATTAGGAAAATTTGAAATTTGGAACCTACACCTCCTTATGGTTCTTAAGATATTTACGATTCAATTTTCTTATTTATGCTGACTCAGCATTTTTTACAAAATATTTTTTTATTTCTTAATAGCAATATTTTATGAACCAAATGAGTTATCATCCTGAAATTTTGTACATAAAAAATTACATAATTATTTTTTAGACCTTAATTACATATATTTTATATGTAAGGCATATATTTTAGGTTATTTTGAGGGCCAAAACGGTGATGTCACCTTGACATTTTTTTTAGGCATTGTTATAACTTACAATACAGGTATCAAACATTATTAACAATACAGGTATCAAACTATTCTACTTTTCTAAATACTTTTTAATAAAGTTTATATAAATGAGTCGGCATAAAAACAGCATATTGCTAATTTATTTATGACAAAACTTGCAAAACCTTAATTTTATGTTGTGAAAATTTATTGTTAAAGTCTTTTTGAGGACAATGATAAATTTATACTTTATTTATACATTTATTTGTGATTGGGTAGGCCCAAAGTATAGGGAGGAGGGGAGGTTGGGTGGGGTGGCACAATTAGGCTCCTCCTCCCCCAATAAATTAAAATTATTAATATTTTCCAAATTAAATATTTTTCCAAAATTAAAACTTTGTTTTGTTGAAACTTTTTATTTTCAGGCTTTTTGGAGGCCTTATGGAGCAATAAATAGAAACAATAAATAGAAATAATAAATTTATTTATTGAAGCTAATTTTTTGTAAAGAACCAACATTTTTTTTAACTATAAAAAAATTTACTGGGCTGTAATCTAAATGCATTTATATAAAAGATTTTTTATAAAAGGTTATATTTATAAAAGAAATTTTTTTGTCTTTTATAAATAAAGCAAATTTATTTCCTCGTTATTATATTATTGCTTCTGATTTCATGTTGTAAATTTTAGTTTCTGTTACTTTGCAGGATTTTTACATTTATTTTATATAACTAATTAATAAATATTAAATGATTACTATATGATCGGTAAATAAAATAAAATTTAGTTTTCTAGTATTAATCATGTGTAAGAGGAAGTCATATAATATGGCACATCCAATTAAATAAAATGTATAAATAAATTACCATAAACTAAATAATGTTAATGGTATTTCTAAAAAAGATTTATTTTATAAAATATTTCAAAATTAGATTTTCTGAATAAATTTATAAATTAGAAAATTATGTAAAAGTGTTCTATTGGATTAGAATGTAATGTTGACTGCCACAAGCATTTGCGTTAAAATAACGTTAAAATAACGCAAAGGTTTTACAAGAAGACAAAGTCTTTTAGACCTATCAACATTTTCAAGTGATGAAAAACATGAATTATTATAGAGCTGGTTTATTTGATTGTGGAAAATTGTTTACAACAATTTGCTATTATCATAGAGAACACTTTGGACTTGTATTTGAAAAAAAATTTCGAAAAATGACATTAAACCTATAGGCAGATACCTAATGAGCTGGTTGTGCAACAGGTTATTTATAATAATATAGATTATGTAGCTTGCAAGTATGCAATTTTTGGTGGATTGGAATTATAATCAAAAAAAATAAAAGAGAAGGAGATTCAATTTATGCCTCCACATGGTCCCAGCCAAAGTTTTTTATGGCCCGCATGGGAAGATATGTGTAATAGGCACAATTTGACTACTCAAAAAAAAAATTTCTTTATGTTTTTAACAAAAAAAAAAGGAAGGGGGTTGGAAAATGCTTAGTTGCTCACCCCCACTTACCCTTCCTCCCATTTGGACTATAAGCCTTCCCAAAAACAAAAAAAAAAACAAAAAATAACAACAAAGTATAACTTTATCATTGTAATAAATTTATCATTAAAACAAAGTAGAAATTTTTGCCTGATAAATTTTTACTTTGTTTATACTAATTTGCTATTTAATAACAAAAAAGTATTTTGTAAAAGATGCTGAGTCAACATAAATAAGAAAATTGAATCTAGAATATCTCAAGAACTGTAAGGTTCCAAATTTCAAATTTTCCTAATTTTTATAAACTTTATAACATATAAAAAATAATTAGCAAAATTCAAAACATTGGCTGACATGAGCCTGCTGATTTGACATGGAATTACCCTTATATTAGTATAAAAAACTATTTTCAACTTTAGTTTTAGTTTGTAAGGAGTGTAGACACTAGTTTTAATAATGAAAAAAAATAATTTTAAAACTTTAAAAACAGTTTAGGAGTAAATTTGATCCCTGGTGCAGACAGGGGTCAAACTTAGGATTTTTGTCATTTTATGACACCTGTCAGTTCTTTTTTAAATTTGAAAAAAAGTAAGGTCCAAATCTATAAAAATATAAAATAAGTCATATACAATAAAATAAAAAATTTACAAGAAAATTGTAAACAAAACAAAGCATTACCAGATATAAGACTCAAACGCTCTAATGACCATTTTGAAACTTCTGCGAGTAAGTCATTGTATGAACTTTCTTCTAAAATATTGCTGACACTGTCTTTAATTTCATTTGAACAGTCTGATGCTTTGATTGTGCTGCACACAGCTGTAACAAAAAGTCAGTGTTGATTTATGTGTGTACATTTTTATATATAGATTTATGTTGTTATATATATATATATATATATATATATATATATATATATATATATATATATACAACCTTCGGAATTAGGGTGGGCATTCGGCAATGCCAACCTAACTGCCGAACTAAACGTGTTTGCGGTCAGCAAAAAAAATTCGGTAAATTATTGCCGACCTCAATTTTCCTAATTCCGAGGGTTGTATATATATATAAATGTATATATATATATATATATATATATATATATATATATATATATATATATATACATATATATATATATACAATACGATATATATATATATATATATATATATATATATTATATATTATTTATTATGATTTTTGCAATATATTAAATATAAGATCAAAAAAATTTCTTTATTTATACTATATACTATTTTTGTAATAAATTTAATTTAAGATCAAAAAAGATCAGAAGAGTTAATCCTAGAAGACAAAAGGTAGATGACTCATTGAGTACATTATTATTCATAAATATAGAAAGATCTAGATTATAGCAATTAGCTGAAAAAATTGAGTTTTATCTGAGTTAAAACTTAAAAGCCACTAAGAGGTTCATTCTGTAGTAGAAGTGGGATCCTTTTCAAGCTCAAATACCCCCTCCAATCAATCAGAGAGTATTGGCTTCTTAGCAAAACAAGAATAAATGGTAGAACCATCAGCAAACAATGCCACCTTAGATGTGAGAATTTCTGAAGGATCATTGATGTAAATTTAAAAAAGTATAGGACCAAGGATAGAACCTTGAGGAGCTCTTGATATTACAGGAAAGTTGGTTACTGGTTAGGAAGGATGCAATAATCTTAAAGATGTTATCTGATGTACAGTAAAAATAGAGCTTATGGAGAGAACCAGCATGTTAAACTTTATCAAAGACTTTAAATATGTCGAGGGTGATAGCCTTAACCTTTTCACATCTATCTAATGCACAATAAAACCTATTGGTTATTACCATTAACAAATCAGCAATAAAACAAGAAGATTAAAATCCATATTGATGATCAGAAAATCAGTATGATCAGTAAGTTATTAGATTCATGATAAGAGATTAAGTGTTTAGAAATTAAAGACTCAAAAACCTTGCTTATAGGATAGGAAGATATAAAAGAAGATACCGCCCTAATGGGACGGTAGTTAGATAAGTCAGACTGTCCTCCAGGATTTTTGACCAAGACCACAAGCTGTAGAAAAGTCTAAGCAGGAAATCACTTTAGACGCAGAAGCTGGAGAATTATGAATTTTAAGCAATGGATCAACATGTTTGTCAGCTATATCAGGTAAGATGTGATTAGTGGAATCAAAAGATAAAATTGATGAAAATTTTTTAACAAACTCAGCTTTGTTTACAGATTAGATTAGATAACAAAATCTGAACCATGCAAGAGTGGTGAAAGGGATTTGCCCTTATTATAGACACTGTTAAAAATCCTTAAGAAGTCTCGGGAACCTATTTTTTGAGATGAAATAAAAGATTTCTTGACCTGAGAATAGCCGGCTTTGACGTTAAACAAAACTTTTTTACAATAGTTTCAGCAATAGTAAACAGACATCTGTGTTCTGGAGAGTTGTTTTGGTGATAAATATGGAAGTAATGGTTAAAATTATAATAATCATATAAAAATGAAAATATTTAACACTAAAAACTTTTCAGTATAAAAATACTATAAAACAGGACAGTGATTAACAGCAAAATATTATAGTATTATTATAATAAAATATGTATTATTGTATTATAGTATCATTATAGTATTTAGTATTCATTATTGTAATAATGATAAACATATACTCTTCATGTAAGTACACACTACCCATAGTGTGTACTTACATGAAGAGTTTATATATATATATATATATATATATATATATATATATATATATATATATATATATATATATATATATATATATATATATCAGCCTGCTATGTTTAGCCAGTGCTTTCACGCTGAAATCTTTTGCTTGCCCACACGCCCGCAAAAACTTTAGTAAGCGCATAAAAAAGCTTGCATAAAAAAACTAAAAATTTTAAATTCAACTTTTATGAAAACTGATTTTTTAATTATTTTATCTTGTACTTATTCAATATATGTATATGTATATATATATATATATATATATATATATATATATATATATATATATATATATATATATATATATATATGTATATATATATATACATATATATATATATATATATATATATATATATATATGTATATATATATATATATATATATACATATATATACATATATATATATATATATATATATATATATATATATATATATATATATATATATATATATATGTATATATATATATATATATATATATATATATATATATATATATATATATATATATATATATATATATATGTATATATATATATATATATATATATATATATATATATATATATATATATATATATATATATATCCTTATAGTGTAGTCGAAAGAGTCGTTTAATGTAAAAAAAGTCTCTTTCGACTACAATTTTAATTACCTAGTCTCTTGAGCTGTTTTTGATTGTCATCGAAATGTCAAAGCAATTAATTTATGCGGAAGTACATTAAATTTAATTGTTTTTTAAAAAATTTTTAAAAAACCGCAATTATAACGACTAGAAAGTTTTTTTTAATTAGTGGTGTTTTTGTTATTGATTTAATAAAAAACATTTTTAAAACATGCGTAAATGTTGCTACATCGATTATCTTATAGCCTGACTCGCAACGGAGTGCTGCTACATCGACTGACAAATAGCCTGACTCGCAACGGAGTGCTGCTACATCGACTGACAAATAGCCTGACTCGCAACGGAGTGCTGCTACATCGACTGACAAATAGCTTGACTCGCAAGGGAATGCTGCTACATCGACTGACAAATAGCCTGACTCGCAAGTGAGTGCTGCTACAACGACTGACAAATAGCCTGACTCGCAAGAGAGTGCTGCTACATCGACTGAGGGTTTGGTTTGGCCAGGCAGTCTATCAATTAAAAAAAAAATTTTAATTTTAAAACTTTTTCTGGTCTGGTTTATTAACGCGCTCTTTAAAACTACAGTTTATGGGAAACTTTTTTTGATGCCATGCAAGAGACATGCAAGAGTATATATATATATATATATATATATATATATATATATATATATATATATATATATATATATATATATATATATATATATATATATATATATATTATGCACATTAAAGATTGCACACTCAAGATTGCCAACGTCACAGTAGATATCACAGTAGTCATAGTAGATGCAGACCCAACAGAGGAAGAATTAACAGCAGTAGTGACAGGATCAGCAAGAAATACAAAAGTAAAAATACAGCAAAACCACTGGAAGTTAAAATAGTAACTTATAAAAACACAGGAGTAGCGGTAGTTGTAGAGCTAGTGCTAAAAGAAGTTGTTGAGATGGCACTTATTGAATAGAAATAAATAATAGTATGATTTTTATCTATCCCTTCGAATCTTTCTATTTTCAATTATGACACTTTCCTTACACACTAGACAGATTCCATTTCAAAGACATATCACTAAAGTAAATCAAAGAAAATATTGTTATATAATGTTAACTGTACTACCCCCAAGCACTAACTTGTCTACGGCCATGAGGTGTCATAATTCATAGGTGTAATAAACGATTCTATACTCCTATAGAAAAATCTTGACCAAGCTAAACATTGTGGAAAATTGTGTAATTCATGTTAGATGGAGAAATAAATTAATTCATCAGTATTAATTTTATTAAACAAGAACTTGTCTGTAAATGTTGTCAAATTTATGGCATCTACCCATTGCTCACTTGCATAAAACTGTTCCAGTGAAAAAAAAATGCTTGTCATACATGGGTTCTTATGGGGTTCCATGTGGGATTAATAGGAACACACATGAAATCCAAGTGAGAAAGTTTTTTTTAGTTCACTGGGTTATTATGTTTTAAATTGAGTTAAATAGTTATAAAATACAATTTCAGACAACAGAAGAAAAAAATTCTAAAAATCACTCCCACAGTTTGTCTCAGAAGCCTGAAAACACAAATTGCTTTAATTTATATACATACACCCAGTAAAAAAAATGCTTTTCCTACATGGACCGCATGTGGGTTCTGTGTGGGACAAGCATTAATTTGGGCAGTGAGTTGAAAAGTCACACTTAACATATTTTTTAAAAATACCATAAAATCTTTCCTTACACCCTCTAATTCTGCTTTTTGAAAATGACTGCTTTTTTGTTCATACTTGGAAACTATTTTTAGAAAAATTATTTACATGTTAATTACATTTTTTAAGTATATAAAGGTCGGGCCTACCAACTGACTAAATAACAAATATATTTACAATTTTTTCCTAGCTTTTTCTCTTGAAACATTTATATAATGAATATATTAAAAACACCATTTTAAAGCGATTGACGCAATTTTCTTACACAAATTTCTGGTAAGGATTCGAGGGCCCCTTTAGCTTAAGGGCCTCGGGGCACTGCCCCATGTAGCCCCTAGGTAGCTATGCCACTGTTTACAATTTGATAACCGCTGTTTTTATGTTGCAACACTTTGTATGCAATTTAAAAAATCGTTCACCTACGAATAACTTTTAATCATTGATCTTTGTTTTTATTTTACAAAAAGGCTTTAAATAAAATCAAATCAAAAATTAGTTATAATGATTGTTTAAAAATAAACGCACTATATGTAAACTAAATGTTATATATGTATATTTTATTAGGTATGTATTTTTTATGATTTAAATGTTTTTTTAAAAGATTTTTAGAACGACATGGAAAAATTTAAACTATTTTTCCATGTCGTTCTAAAAATCTTTTAAAAGATTATTTTTTTAAGTTTAATTTTAAATGATGAATAAGTTTAATTAAATTTTCCCATGATTTAATTGCTTTATTTATTTATTTGTTTCTCTTTTTACAAAAAATTGTTTAAAAGTTTTATTTTTTAAACTTGACCTACTAATTAAATCATGAAATGGTTAAAAATCACTATATTAAAAAAACATTATTTTTTTAAACAAATTTTTTTTTTTGCAGCTTTAAAAAAAAAGTTGTTTATACAAATTAAAAATATTAAATTTTTTTATTTTCAATAATAAATATATTTCGTCATTTATTAAACAACCAATTGAAGTAATTTGTAAAAGCGTTTTGCATAACTTATATTAAATGTTTTAAAAGATCAGTTTCAAAGTAATTTTTTTCAAATGCAATTAAAAAACGTAACAAAAATAATTTTTACTTCGAGTTTTTTTAGTTTTATAATAAGGCTAATTTTTTTTTTTTTCTCATAAGGAATTGTTTTGCTTATTTTTTAGTTTTTTAGTTTTTTATCCTAGTTTAGGTTAACATTTTCTTTTTCTGAAACGTTTAAATCATCAAAACATCTAAACAGTCGTGGTCATTTTGTGAACAAAAAAAATCACTTATTCCTGTCCAAACTTTATTTTGCACGCTATTCCTGTCCAAACTTTATTTTGTAAAATTTATTTCCTGTCGGTCAAAATGTCCGATTACTTTGTAAATTGAGTGGACAAGCTGAGGTTTTAGCCGGACAATGTCCCATGTCTGACTGTTAAACTGAGCCCTGAGTACATATAAAAAAAATTTTCTCAGAAAATGTAAAAAATCTCAGTAAATTTTGAAAAGGAATTAATAATCTAATAAATTTCAAAAAACTTAAATAAATCTTCTCTTAACTGAGTACAAGATAACAAAACTTATTTAAACTAAACTACTTATATAAACTATTTAACACATTAAAAAATAGAACGTTTCTGGATAATTAAATCTAAAACATCTTGTATTATAATAATTCAACAAGATAATTTTAAATTTTCTAAAAATGTTCCATTTATATTGGAATATATTATATAAATATTGGAATAATTTATTCCAATACTTAAAAATGGATCTAAACTTTTATGCATTAACTATACATCTATTTCTCTTTTATTTAAAACTAGTAAACTTCGAGAAAAATTTATGCGTTAGTGTAATTTCTAAACCCTTTTAACTGTTTAAATAACTTTTAATTTGGTTTTTGATCAAAAAATTCTACTTGCAACACATACTACATTTTTTTTAACAACTAATAAACACCTACTAAGTTTGCTCAAAGTAAAAACTATAAAGTTTAAAAACAGCCCATTTAAATTTAAAATAAACTGTTAAGCACTCAATAAACAACATTTATCTTATAAAGTAAAAAAAATGTTTTTGCTGATCAAAGTGTTCTCTTTTAAGAAAAATGATCACAATTTTTACATTTTTTATGCATTTAAACTTACCATTTTCTTTTGGGCATTCTTTGTAATTACAAGGTAAAACTTCTAAAGCAACTCCTGGACAGCTGTTTTGAAAAAAACTTTTATTACAAATTCGTGTTCGCAAGCTTACTCCATCTCCACATGTTACAGTGCAAGCAGACCATTCTTTCCAAATTGACCAATTAGCTTCTCCATTTGCAAATAATAAATCAGCTATAAATGAATGCATATATTTATTACAAAAAATTAAATTTTAAATTAAATTACTAACAACTGATTATCTTGATGTCAAGGCACTTTCTTATATATATATATATATATATATATATATATATATATATATATATATATATATATATATATATATATATATATATATATATATATATATATATATATATATATATATATATATATATATATATATATATATATATATATATATATATATATATATATATATATATATATATATATATATATATATATATATATATATATATATATATATATATATATATACATTAGGGTGGCTCTTAAAAGAATATTTTTGAAAAAAAACTGCTCTTACCCCTTTAATTTGTTCTATATAATACTATAACACTAGATTTAAAAATTTTTTGAATAAAAAATATTTTCATGGGTAGCCAAGACCCTTAAAAATTTGAAGGGTCCCTAATATTAAAAAAAAAAAGTTCTTCTAAAATATATCAACCTGGTACTCAAAATAAGCTAAAATTATATAAAAAAATTTTTTTATATAATTTAAAAACTATTTTTCATAAAAGTTTTTTCAGGTATAAATGCATAAAAAAAATTTTTAGACTGAAAATAAAAAAAGTCAATACTTTTAAGTTTTTTGAGAATAATTTTTAAACATGTTTTTAATGTAAATTAATTATTATTTTAAAGTTTTTATATAATTTCGATTCTTTTGCATACCAGGTTGACATGCTTTAAAAACTTTTTTTTTCAAAATATTAGGGACCCCTCAAATTTTTAAGGGTCTTGAGCTACCCCTAAAAGTATTTTTTGTTCAAAAAAACTTTAAAACTAGTGTTTTAGTATTATATAGAACAAATTAAAGGGGTAAGAGCAGGTTTCTTTCAAAAATGTTGTTTTAAAAGCCACTCTACATATGTATATATAATATTATATATACATATACTTATACATAGGGTTGCCAGATGCGTGGTCGCCCAAAGGAGGACATAGAAAAGCCAAAAAGAGGACAAAGGAGAACATACTTCATTTTAGTAATATCTAATAACGGAAGGTTTTTAAGATTTTAAGACGCTAATAGCTTTTTTTTATAAGGTGAGAAGGGGGGGGGGCAAGACTGATATTTTAGCCACGGTACTGACACCGGGTGAAAATAAACAACAAAGTATATTATATAAGAACAATATGTTACAGTACACAAAGATAATAGGTAAATTGTAGGTATTATAAACTATTACTTAATAATAATAAAAACTAAAAAAAATATCAAAATTGCCGCAAGAAAAATAAACAATGTAACAAAATTTTAAATTATCTTTAACGTTTTTTTTTTTTCCAGACTAAGCATTTATTTAATCAAGATGTTGCAAACTCAGATAACTTTCTCAAAATTACAATTGCAATTAAGACTTTTCAATTAAAAAAAAGAATGCAATGTTCAGGTATACGGAGTTTTAATATATTATATTATTTAGAATAAGATGTTTGTCAAATAACGTATTTCTCGGAGGAGCCAACTCTACGCAAAAGATCTTTGTTAGCAATCTTATATTTATAAAACTGTTCACAGGTAAAGTTCTTAAAATTATACTTTGTGAGAACGATGCCTTTTACAGAGTCAACTAAAAGTCTGTTCCTTTCTTTTGTCAATTGAGCATTTATCAACAAGAATACTCTTTCAACATTTGCAATTCGCAATTGGACAAGCTTTAAAAAATAAAACCCACTGGTTATGCAAGGGCATTTCAAAAAAATCCTCATTTTTGCCTTGCACAAATTTTTTAGATTACAGTATTTTTATTTTACAAATGATTTTAGATTACAGTATTGGTCAAACAATTGTAAATCATCTAAAATGATACCTTTTTCTTTCAGGTATAAAATGCATACCAAAAGATCATGAAATGTGCTGTCTTTTACTTTATTTAAAAACATCAAAGCACTGAAATTCATTAAAAGGTTTCAACCACTTTTCTAAATAAAGAATGCATGCTTCGTACACTAGCTTAACTTCTGCCACAAAGCAGTTATAATCTTTTTCTGTGTCACTTTCTTTAAACTTTTTAAATATATTTCTGACTTTAAGCAATATGAATGTTTCATTTAACTGACCTTTTAAAACTGCCAAGGTAGAGTGAAAAAGGTTCATAACTTCTAAAACTGACGTTTCTTCCCTTTCAACTGCTGCAATATTCACATGAAAGACAGACATTAGGGAATGCAAAAACCAAAGATAAGCTTCTGCAAATTCATTCTCAAAAAATACTTTTACTGTAACAGGTGGTTGATCTACAGAAAGAAAGTATATTTTCAAAACATCAAATAACCTCAGCAATCTTTCAATAGCGGGAAACAAACTTAACCATCTAGTTTTAGTGTGATAGAGTAGTTGGTAATAACTAATGTCAACATAGTCGCATAAATCTTTTAAAGATTCTGTTCTAACTGTGTATATAGAAAAATAATTAAATATTTTCAAGACAACAGTTTCAATATCAATCTTTGTTAAATCTGTACCATGCTGAATGCAGTTATGCGAAACGTGGGCAAAACATCTAACACCTACCAATGGTTTTTTTAATGCTTCTTTCAAATATGAGAACACATTTTTGCCTACTTTTCTATTAATGCCTCCAAAATTTACATTAGCATTGTCTCCAGCAAAAGCAACAACCTGTAAACACCGTTCAATGGCCTTTTATTGGGCCAATAACTTTTTTGAACATATATAACGGGCCATTGTATGCCATTGTTTTGCCTTAATTGCTGAGGCTTTGCGTTTGTCGGCTTGCATTTGCAGCTGATATAGAAGCCTTATTATTATTTCAGAAGTTATTATTATTTCAGAAGTTATTATCATTTCAGAACTGTATTTAGTTTTAAATTCAATTTCAAAGTATACATATATATGAATTATACACATATTTTTTTCCATAGTTTTAGTTTATTATCATTATAGCTTTACTAAAGTTTATATAACTTATATAAAAAGGGATTTCAACAGATCATGGATACTGTGCAATCTTATTGGTCAAAGAGAAGAAAAATAGTTAAACAAAATTATGTCCGATACTGATACAGAATCTTCTATTTCTAATAATAATAAAGCTTTAAAAAAAGATAGTTTTATATCTCATGCCTCCTATTCTTTTAATGATATTGTAGGACAAAAATCTTGTTTGTAATCAACATTTATCAGATCACTTCTCTCCAATTCTTGATAACTTCTAGTACATGAGATTGTAGGAGTTTAAGGAAATGCGTTGTGTCTTTAAAGTATGCTGGTAATTGTTCAGCAACTGGCTGAATAAATTCTGTGATAAAGAACGATAAGTTATCGATTGGTCCGTCGCAACCAGAAACAATTGGTCTTAAGGGAGTGCCTATCTTATGAATCTTGGGAAGGCCATAAAACAGGGGTGTACGATGGGGTGTTTTTGGTCGTAGAAACTCTGATGTTTTTTTATCAATCATATGATGAAGAAACATATAGTCAATAAGATTGTTAACATCTCTCGCTATACTTTTTGTTGGGTCTTCTGAGAGTAGTTTATATGTATTTTTATCTGATAAAAGTAGAGAGATCTTTTCTTCATAGTCAGTTTTATCTAAAATACAAATACCCCCTCCTTTGTCGGCCTTTTTTATAATAATTGTGGGATTAAACATAAGGGAGTTTAGTGCGTGAATAAGTTTAGGAGTTAAAATATAATAACAATTCTGAGTTTAATATGCTGGATTTAAATTCAATAGATAGAGAAAAGTTGACTGAAAATAGTAATTATGACGAATTTGTAACAAATAGTTGGGAAATATTTATGAAGCAGGATACAATTGAATCCATTAATGTAGAGCCATTGTTGGATGATGGCAGTGAGGAAAGTGAATCTAATATTGAAAACGAAAAAAAAGAGCTATCATTTGATTTGGGAATGTGGGCAGTATTATTTTCTGTTTCTACGGTTGCAGTATCTTCACTTTTGGATATACTTAGAGTGTTGCACCCATTACTTCCAAAAGATCCACGAACGTTACTAAAAACACCTAGACCAACAACTGTCAAAACAATTGAAGGGGGCTCCTATTATCACTTTAGTGTTAATTCATTGCAACACATAATTCATTTGCCTTATTTTTGTACAAGTCTTTGCTCTCAAACTCTATCACTTTCTCTACAAATTAATATTGATGGATTACCTTTACAGAAGTCAAGTACTCAACAATTTTGGCCGATTCTAGCAAGAGTATCAATCCCATTTTCAAGTAATCCATTTTTGATTGGCTCGTTTTGCGGTCAAAGTAAACCAGTTAACTTGAATGAATATTTAAAAGATTTCATTGAAGAAATGTTAGAATTGGAAAAAGGTCATGTTAAAATTGATGTAGATGGTAAAAAATACTCAATAAACATATATACTTTCTGCTTTGTATGTGATACTCCTGCAAGAGCATATATAAAACAAACTAAAGGACATACTGGATATTACAGTTGTGATAAGTGTATCCAAAAAGGAGAAAGACACAGTAAGGTAACATTTCTTAAAACTGATGCTCCACTTAAAACTGATCATTCTTTTAATGAAATGACAGATGCTAATCATCACATTGGAGATACTCCGCTTAAAAAATTGTATATTAGAATGGTAACTCAGTTTCCACTTGATTTTATGCACCTAGTGTGTCTAGGAGTAATGAAAAGGATTTTGATGTTTTTAATAAAAAGCCCTGTTAGTAATCGAATAAGATTAGGAAAAGCATCTATTAATGGTATTTCAAAGAAATTAATAGAGTTTTAAAAATTTATTCCTTGTGAGTTTTCTAGACAATGTCGGCCTTTAAGTGACATAGAGCGTTGGAAAGTAGTGGAATTCAGTAAATTTTTATTATACAGTGGCATTGTTGCACTAAAAGGACATCTTTTAAAATCTGTATACAACAATTTTATTATATTTTTTGTTGGGATATACTGTTTACCCAGTTCAGATCTTTATCAAAGTCATGCTGATTATGCGGAATCTTACGCGCCTTTGTAAAAAATGCTATAAAAATCTATGGCAAAGGTTTTATTAGCTACAATGTACACAGCCTAATACACATTGCAAGTGATGTAAAAAGATTTGGATCTGTTTATAATTACTCTGCATTTCCGTTTGAAAATTTTCTAGGGCATTTAAAGCGTTTAATACGTAAACCTTATTTACCACTTCAACAGGTTATCCGGCGTATATCTGAAAGAAATGGATCAATTATAAAAAACTCTGATAAATGTATGAAGGAAGGCATTCCCAGGAAGTTGCATGAAAATGGTCCTATTGTTTTAAGAGCACAAACAGAGTGTCTCTAGTATCAAGAAATTACTTTAAATGGAACTTTTTACTCTACTTCAAAAGGAAACAATTGCATAAAAATAAAAAATAACTTTTGTTTGATTCGTAACATAATAAAATTTCATTGTGATAATAGGCATTTTATTGTTTATGAAAAATTTCTTACTATTGAACCTTTCTTTAGATATCCTGCAAATTCCTTTGAATGTAGTAAAGGTCTGAAAGCACTCCGAAAATACGAATTGTCGTGCACACTTAGATGACAATTCGTGTGCACACTTAGACGACAAAAGCGTGCACACTTAGACGACAATACGTATTTCCGGAGTGTTTTCAAAATATATTGGGATATAGTTTCAGAGGTTTTATTTGGTGCGTTATCTGAAGTGAGAGTTTTAGTTTGGATACCAACTGTCTTCCGGTCAAAATATTGAATAACAATCGGAAATATTTTCTGTGAAGCATAGTTGCTAGTATCTGTGGAAAGACCGAAACATGATATGCTATCTAATGGTTTCATCAGTTGATCAACAGTGTGGGGGCCAATTACATGGTTTAAAATTGCCTCAGTTTTTGTTTTAGAATATGCAATATTTTTTGCAATTTCCGAATCTTCAAATAGCGTGTGCATTAAACCAACTGTGCAGGCCATCGAGTTGTAAGACTGATGAAGCCAAACTGTATGAAATGCTAAAGTTGCTTCAGCTGCGTGGGCTTTTTGCAATATCTTTCAGTTTTTAGGTTGAAAAAAGGACGTCAACCTATTCGATGACGCTGACACATTGATTTGGTTTTTATGTTTTCAGCTGCTAACATGACGGACAAGTAACTATCAGCTGACGGACAAGTAACTATCACAAATCGTACACTTTGCCTCATTCTTGTTGCGCCCTTCAGCAAAACAAGAATACTTTGTTTTCTTAGTACTTGAGAATATGCATTTTCTCTTAGTAGAAACTGAAGTTATTTTTATAAAAACAATGTTGCAATTTAATATAAGCGCTGTTGTTGCTATAAAAACGTGAGCAAAAACAGACATGCAAAATGTGCTGAGTTAAAAACGTTTCAATTAAAATATACTTTTTTTTTTAATTTTTTAATTACTTTTCTGTTCTATAAAACAATAAAAGAACTCCAAAAGTTTTACAGTTTAAGAAAAGTTTTAAATAGAAAGAAACATTTTTGAATGGAATGAATTTGTTTTAAATGGAATGAAACAGTTTTGAATGAAATGAAACAGTTTTGAATGGAATGAAATAGTTTTAAATGGAATGAAATTATGTTCTAACTTTTATTGCTTAGATTTTTGTTTGTCTAACTGTTTGACTAATGAATAAGAGGACGTTAGAACAAAATGAACATTGCAATACGGCTGGAAAAGCGAAACGCACAGAGTTAAAAGTAAAAATTGGCGTTTTGATTAAATTCAATTTGGAATTAAAGCGTCAAGTTCTACTTAAAAAAGTTATACGTCAAAAAAAATTTTAAAAGTTATACAGTTTTAAGAATACATAAGTACCTAAAAAAATAAAGAAAAAAAATAAAGAAAATAAATGAAAAAATTAAAACATAAAAAAGCCGGACATTTTTAACGTTTTCAGCTTCGCCTACCGGACATGTCCTTTTTTTGCCGGACGTCAGGCAACCCTACATAAAATAATACATATATACATATACGTATAATAATATTATATATACATATGAAGAGTGGCTCTTAAAACATTATTTTTGAAAAAACCTGCTCTTACCCCTTTAATTTGTTCTATATAATACTAAAACACTAGTTTTAAAATTTTTTCGAGCAAAAAATATTTTTAGGGGTAGCTCAAGACCCTAAAAAATTTGACGGGTCCCTAATATTTTGAAAAAAAAAGTTTTTAAAGCATGTCAACTGGTACTCAAAAAAATCGAAATTATATAAAATAATAATTAATTTACGTAAAAATTAATTATTATTTTATAATTAACTTCAAAACCCGTGTCGTCGGCCCTGATATATATATATATATATATATATATATATATATATATATATATATATATATATATATATATATATATATATATATATATATATATATTATTGTTATTATTATTATTATTATTATTATTATTATTATTATTATTATTATCGTTATTACCGTTATTGTTATTATTATTGCTATTATTATTATTATTATTATTATATTGTAGGTGGTTTGTTTTGTGGAAACTTATAGGGGGGAACTGTAATAGAATATTAGAATATCTAGTATCTATCATCTTAGAATATCACCGCGCCAGTAGATTTAATTAAAACGAGGGTGCGTTTTGAAGTAATAGAACTTAGTAGGGTACTGAGTGCGTCAGAATAATACAAAAACGTTCTTAGTATAAAATATAAACATGTGTTTTTATTTCATACAAAGATAAAAACATGTGTTTATATTTTATACTAAAATAAAAACATGCGTTTTTATTTTATACTTTTAATTTATTTAATGCTCTTACATATACTTATATTTAATCGATGAATATTTTCTTTCTTTTTTTTTTTTGACTTTTACTGTTGGATTGGCAATATTAGCATATTCAGTACAAAAGCATATATTTACATGAGATATAATTTTTATATTTATTTATGAAGCACAAATTTAGAAAAAAAAAAAAAATTAAACTTACTTGTATTTTTAATTTTTTATTTATTTAAATTTAATCTATTACGGAAAAGTCCGTGAAGCTGGGAAAGCAACCAATCCCTGCTAGACATCTTTTATCATAGTTTATAATATACATTTTTATAGTACTATGGTTGAAGTACATTTTTTGTTTGTTTAACAGGTCTATGCAAACATACCCAAAAAGAACCAGACTGGACTACAAATCTAAACCTTTTTAAAGATGCAAAGGTGCAAAGGCTGGGATCTGGAAAGCCAAAAACCAAAAGATTGTGACGGCATATGACATCAGTCCAATCCGGAAAAAATATTTTGTGATGCCATATAGAGTCACCATATGAAGTTTCTACAGGTATTTTAAAATGCCTAATAGATACTTTTTTTATTGCTGCTTTTGAAATCTGAACAGGACATGCTTAATTTTGATATTTTCACAGCGCTTCTTTTTGACAGTCAATTGATTTGTGAAAAAATCCAACTAACATACAATTTTTTTTTAAAACACATATTTACGCTCAAGGATGTTAGAAAACAATATAAAACTACACTATACAACTTAAAAATAATTTTGAACTCCAAAAAATAAAAAAATTATTTTATATATTTATACATAAATCTATATATATTTATGTATAAATATATACATATATAAATTAACAGATAACTATGAAGCCAAACTGATCGGGCTTAGATTTTTTGATAGATACTCCTTAAGACTCTAACGATTTGTTGATGTAAAAATTTAAACACGATCGGCTTGGCGTGGATATGGGTCAAAAAGATATCAAAGTAGGACATACTCCTTTTAAAATAAAATTCCAATTTTTTTTTAAATGTCGAAAAAGAAAAATTATGGATGCTCAACAAGATCTGCCAATACCAACAACTTCATGACCTGCTAAAAGTCTCGGAAAAAGACAAAGATTATGCCTGTAAAAGATGATAATTTAAAAAAAAATTTGCTGTCATTACTAATTCAGCATGGGAAGAAAGCAAAGGTGTTTTTTTACGGTAAAATAATTATAAGTTAAAGAGCAGCATATGTCAACATATGCTACTTGAAATATATGTCATGTAGCATATGTTGGAATTATACTGCTCTAGGATGAAAGCAGATTTTTTTTTGAGGTTATTTTTAAAAGTATATTTTTGAAAAAATCCCTTTTATGACAACTTTTACAAAAATAAAAAACAAAATTTTTTATGTAATAAAATCTAAAATAATATAATAAATTTATGTAAACTGCCAATACCAACAACTTTATGACCTGCCAAAAGTCTTGCAAAAAACCATGATTATGTGTGTAAAAGATAATAGCCTTAAAAAAAAATCTGCTGTATATATATATAGCCTTAAAAAAAATCTGCTATATATATATATATATATATATATATATATATATATATATATATATATATATATATATATATATATATATATATATGTATATATATATATATATATATATATATATATATATATATATATATATATATATATAACTATATATATATATATAACTATATATAGTTAGCAATATTACTTACTCATATATATATATATATATATATATATATATATATATATATATATATATATATATATATATGAGTAAGTAATATTGCTAACTATATATATATATATATATATATATATATATATATATATATATATATATATATATATATATATATATATATATATATATATATATATATATATATATATATATATATATATATATATATATATATATATATAACTATATATATATATATAACTATATATAGTTAGCAATATTACTTACTCATATATATATATATATATATATATATATATATATATATATATATATATATATATATGAGTAAGTAATATTGCTAACTATATATATATATATATATATATATATATATATATATATATATATATATATATATATATATAACTATATATATATATATAACTATATATAGTTAGCAATATTACTTACTCATATATATATATATATATATATATATATATATATATATATATATATATATATATATATATATATATATATATATATATATATATATATATATATATATATATATATATTTATTTATATATATATATATATATATATATATATATATATATATATATATATATATATATATATATTTATGTATATATGATCGTCTTTTTATATTCATTAGAACCTTTTGCAACTTAAAAATGTGTTGTACGTATCAAACTAACACTAAAATTAGCTTTTTTTTTTTTTTTTATAAAAAAAAATAATTTAAATGCAAATGTAAATCTAGTGTAAATATACACACACGCACTTGATGACATTAAATAAATATGTAGTAAATTACCTTTAATAAAGAAACCGAATTGTTCCAACATAAAAAACGATAAAATAAAATGCATGTTTGACCACATGATTAGTTAGATAAAGGAAACAAACTTCTCTTCTTTCAATTTAACTAAAAATGCCCATTAAAAAGAATTTTTATTATTAAACAACTTGATTTTAATTAAAAAACAATATAAAAATTATAAAAATATATGGTATAAAAACGCAAAGTCATAATAAGAAGTTCTTTTTTTTTTATTTTGCATCGACTTTTTAGTTCTCTTTTGTTTACCTTCTTTATATATGTTATATTATATACTAGCAGTGGTGTAGCTGGTAACTAAGGGCCCTGGGGCAAATTAAAAAACGGGGCCCAACTGCTATGTAAACTGATTAGGTTTTATCAAATAAAAATATGAAATATACAAATACTTTAAAAATGCTAAGCTCTATTTTGTGCACTGCAGGGCAGGTAATAAAAATAATTAACAGCAACAACATAAATAACAATTAATACTCGGTATAGGTTTGGCTAATAAAACGAAATAGAGAAGATTCAAGGGTTTATTATATAAAGATCGGGCCTACCATTACTTTAAAGCGATTGACGCAATTTTTTTACACAGATTTCTGGTAAGGATTTGAGGGCCCCTTGAGCTTGAGGGCTTCGGGGCACTGCCCCGCGTTGCCCCTAGGTAGCTACGCCACTGTATACTAATGATGGACGAATTTATGTCATATTATATACTAGCGGTGGGAGAACATATGTCATATTATATACTATTGATCGAGTATTTGTTTATCTAATGTCGATGTAGGAGTATTCGTTAACAAATATTCCTTAAAGACTTTCGTATAAAATATTCGTAGTGCACCAATACATAATTGTTTATATATATTTGTTAATACACGTGAACAATATGTTCGTGAAACAAAAAAATGTTTTTTAAACGAATACGCGTGAACAAGTATGTTTGTTTATCGATTATTAGCCTTTTTCAAACCGCGTCAGACCTGAAAACTAATATTAACTTGAGGGGACATTTTTTTTAAAGCGCAATATTTGTTTATGTTGTTTTTAGGCAGTTTAATTCTTTTCTTAATTATGAAGTGGTATTGCAGCTCGATTTCGTTTTAACAACTTTAGAACTAAAGGTAATGAAAAATCAAAATAATAAAAATCCTATAAAAACAAATCGATTGCCGAGAGATGAAAATATTTAGAGACTTTACATGAAGCCTTTTCAAAACTTCTGGAATGAATTGGAAAAAAGAACATATATATGTTCTGCCCATTGGAGTAGGAACATTAGAAATAACAACGAGTATTTACCTGACATTATTGTTCCTCCAGATCATTTGGAAAAGCTTAAAAAAAGAGTTATAAATTCGAAAAAAAGCTATATGAACGCAATTTTGACAACACACAAAGCAAAGAAATTGGTAATATTTAAAAATACTTTAAAAAGATATAAAACTGCTTTATCAATAGCTCAAAGAATAAACAGTTTTGAAAAAAGACGAACCTTCGTAGTTCGTACTAAACAAACTATGAAAAAAATTAGAGAATTTTCAAAAACTAAATTAAAAAAACAATTTGAAAAATCCTTAAAAACAATTAAATTATTGCAAACTGCTATAAAAGATAAAAATATTTGCAAAATCAAACTTAAAAGTAAAATGCTTAAGCAAAGTGTAAAAATTCAAGAGTTAAAAGTTAAAAATATGCATCTCTCTGGTAGCATAAGTAATGTTTTTTTTTTTGAAAAAACATTTATATTCTTATGCAAAAGTACTGCTTTGCAAAAGTATCATCTAATAAACTCAGAGTAAATAATTTTAAACTGAAATTTTCTTAAAAAGCTCAAATAATAACAAATTAAGACTTTTTAGATATTTTGGCCTGATTTAGAAAGTTCTATTGAATTAAAATTTTTAAAAGTTTTCTTGGAAAACATTATTAATCAAGAAATGTATATTGAATTATTCCGTCCAAACCTAATCTCCAAAATATTCAATAAGCATTTCGCAACAATTTATCCAAAACTTTTAAAAAATAAACCAACATAAAATCTATTAACACCTCCAAACGACGCAGTATTATGCGATAATGATATATGCTATAAAAAATTTGAAGTTGTGCACTTTGTCCCAGAGAAGTGTAAAAACGGCAAATATTGTTTATTAATGTAATATAAATAAATAATACGTGAAATTAGAGAGTTAGAGGTCAAACATTTTGTTTTTGATGTTATCAAATTATATCAAAAAATAAAAAAAAAGGTGATCAAATTAAAAAAATAGAGGATCAAAAATTTAATTTTTAATATCAAAATTCGAATTTTAATTTTAATCAAAAAGAACTTAAATTTTAATATCAAAAGAATCAGCGGAAAACTAGTATGCTGATCAGCGGAAAACTAGTATGCTGATCAGCGGAAAACTAGTATGCTGATCAGCGGAAAACTAGTATGCTGATTCATATATTAATTAATGAATTTAGTTTTTGTTGTTTTTTCAGTGTAGATATTTTACTAAGGCCATCTATACCATACCATACTATACCATCTGTTTCAACTTGAAACAGAAATAAATCGTAGATTTAAAATTATAAATTTTCTAAATAACGAGATAATGCATTTAAACCTCAACATACAACATTATACATTAATAATAAAAAATATGCACACATTTGATAACTATTATACTTTTAAATGTAAATTGTCTGGCGGTGGCTTTCCATTAAAACTTTTGTGCTTAATAAAAGTAATTGATAAAATCTGTCACTTTGAATGACTAAGTTATTCACTTGGCTTTTCTATTTTTTCCTGTTTTAAGATTTTAAGAAATATGCTTTGTGATGAAAAGATTTTCTTAAAACCTTTTCATCACAAAGCATATTTTAAACATTTGTTTCAGGAAATTTTGCCACATAAACATTAGATGATTGGGTGGAATAACTTCCATAATTCACTACCTTTCCATCAAACATCAAAAATCTTGTTGGGAATTTTGTGAGTAGTTGTTTCTGTATAAATTAAAAGTTGTTGAAAATTTGAAAATTTAGATCTTTATCTCTCTTCTTCTTTCACACAAAGCAACTTGGACTCTTTTCTGAGATATAAAAAAGTGAGTGATATCCATTTTTTTAAAAATATTTAATATCAATAGTTAGTTTTGAAAATACTACAACAGTTTGAAACTCGCCTTCTTCTTTTTTTATTGCTTCGACTAGATCTGTGTCAGAGTAGTTTTGTTTGCAAACTGGTTTGAAACATCAAGTCCGTAAAAGTCCACATCTTTTACGAGATGAAGAGAGTGTTCTAGAACTTTTTGTCTAATGTGGATAACAATTTTCTTTAAAAAATTTTCTTTAATTGTGTATTTCGCTCTGGGCTTTATACATGTATATTATTTCTTGATATGGTTGGGTTGATTGGACTTTTATTAATGAGGTTCTTAAAAAATAATAAAATTAATAAAAGTAATTGTGTTTTTATAAACAAACAAAAGTACTTTTTTAATTGAATATAAATGTTTTCATTACTCATCTTGCTGCTCATAAAATAAAAAATAAGTTACAATGAAACGGTTACAATACATAAAGATGATATACTTTTTTTTACTTTATTTCTAAAGAACCTTTTTTTTTTTTTTTAGAAAACTCAAGCTATAGAGGACTTTTTTTAGAAATCGACGATTGTGCCCCTCCACTTCGAACCGTGTAGTTGACCCTGGGTGTTTGATCAAAGATTGTAATTTAAAAAAAAAGCCTATGTAAAAATATCATAAAATACTTTTGGCAGCAGTTTATTCTTATAGATATACATAAGCATTAGTGTTTGAAACGAATTAAGATATATCTAGGACATTCATATATTTTATAACTGTATCATCAGGAATGACTTTTGAAATATACAACGTCCTTACTGCAGCGGATATTTTTGTTTCAATAATACCAATATGGCTTCTCCATGATAGATTCTCCTAAATAAATTTCTTTAAAACTTTGTATGCTTTTTTCACTTTATTTAATTGTTATTAACTTTAACGGAAATTTAAGTGGTTGTCTTATTTTATAAAAGTGAGTAAAGCTCGTGTCTTTTAAAGATATTTTTACTTGCTTTAAACTAATGTTTAAAACTTTTTATAAGTTATAGAGTTTAGTTATAGAGTTAATGAGAAAAAATATTGCTTGGTATAGGCAAAAGGAGAGATCAATTTTATATAAACATATTATTATTGCTACAATTTATTTGTTTTTTTTAAATTGTTTTTTTATAGTTTAAAACTTTTTTTTTTTAATTAAGATGTATTTTAACATAGATAATTAACTTACAATGTGTATCTGTATATATTTAATTTGATTAAAAAAAAACTAAAATTAATAATAATTATAATAGTAATAATTTGTAATCTTTTTTTTCACAGAATAGTAAAAAGAAATAAAAAATTCAATAAATAATCTTAAATTTTTAAAAAAGAATTTTGATAATTTGCACGTAAAATACACGTGAATGGAAATTTTAATCAAAAGATAAAGAGTATCGTACAATTTTATACAATACCAATATAGATTATCGTATGCAAAAGAAAAATGCATCATACGATCTTTTAATGTCGTACGATTATTGAAATATTACTATGATAATAAAAATTGGCAGTTAAAAAAATTTTACAATGTTAGGGTAAACCTTAGTGTTAAGGTATGTTGAGTGATGCAAAAATTATGTTTAGTTTTTTTGTTGTTGTTTTTTTATTCTAGGCCTGGTGAAAAAACTTTGGCGCAACATAAACGCAAGCAATAATGAATAAAAATTTAGAACAGAGTAGTAAGCAATATATTTATTTTTTACTTTCGGAACTGAAATAATACTTTCTCGCCATCATGACATATTGCGTCAACTTTTCTGTTTACATTTTGGACACGATTTTTCGTTAGCTTTTCTTAACCAAGAACTGATTCTATTTTGCAGATGATCTTCATTTGAGCTTTCTAATCGTTTTAATACAAGTTCTGAACAAGTTTATATTTTGTGATACATGTCATACTATTAACTTTTATAACATATTTATGTTTTTCTTATTCAGGTATATTCCGATACAAAATAGATAGTTATCGTGATTGCAATTTTTGTTAATAAACAATGATGTAACCATTTTCACACACTGTTTGATTGATTGCAACTTATGCAGAAAAAATAAATTGGCGAGAGATTCCATAAGGGGTATGATAACCCACACTAAATCATTTTTTTTTAATTCGCTTTTGCGCTTATATTTTATATTTTTGGCACATTTTTTCAAATACCTGAGCAAAATACAATATTAGAATTGTTATTTATTTGTATAATTGTAAAATGCAGCTCATCATGGATGTCATTATGGTTTCTGCGACAAATATTTTCGCGTTTAAGTTGTACCTGATCTAACTTATTATTGGTACGGTCAGAAATTCGTAGTTTTTTGTAAATAAAAAAGATTTGTTTTGTTCTTTAATGTTTTTACAATGTAGGAATGATCGCCGTTGAATTTATTTGCAACTTTTCTTGTTGAAGCTTCGGTTATCGGTTTTTCAAGAGACCTTTCAGATGATTAATATTCCTAGCAGTAATGACTTTAGGTTTTCTGCCAGATCCAGAAAGGTTTGTTTAGTTACATTAATGTAACTAAACAAAACTTTCGGTGAAAGAAAACTAACTTTTTATACACTAAACAAAAAAAAGTTGCAACCGGATAATTTCAAATTTTATAAGTTTTGACTGCTTAAAGATTGCTCTAGTGTCACCAAGAGTTGTACATTAAATTTATATTTAAATTAGAAAATTTACAGATACGGATCCAGCATTTTTTGGTGTTTGAGACTTCCAGACATGGAGCAAACTCCAAACATTTGTATGTATATACTTATGTCAAGTAACGATGATTTGCAAAAATATTTGTCGTTGTTATACGTTATTACCGTTTAACTTGCTGTTTTTCTTTTTCTATTCAATATTACCATTTTATTTGTTGATTTTTTAAATTACAACCGTTTAAGAATAATAGTGTTTCAAGTGTGATTTTAAATTATTTTCATAAAGAAATCTTTAAAAATTATTGTTAGAGACATTATTTAATCTCTAACAATAATTAATCTTTATTTTTTTTTATTTGAAACCATTTTTTGTATTTGAAACCATGAATGGACTAAAAATTTAAAAAGTACCGGAGAGCTAGGGGTTCTATCAAAAATAACAGTGTAAATAAATTATAGGCTTAAAAGCTATAATAACTTTTAATGAAGACATTTTAAAGATAAATAACTCCGATTATGAAGACGTAATTATTAATAACGTAAAATATATGTTAAACGAAAAAAATTTAAATGCAAACTTCAGGTTTGCTATGTAATTTTATGGCTGCGGTGGTAGCAGCCATAAAATTTCATTAGTTATTATTTTAAAAAAGGGAACAAGTAAATCGTAAAATAAAGACAATAAAACGTAAATGACTATAAATGTAAATAACAATAACACGTAAATGGAAATGTGTGCAAATCGCAATAAAATCTAAATGATAATTTCATAAAAACGGAATTAAAATATAAATGGTTTTAAAATGTAACTGGCATGAAGAAGATTAAGTCGAAGTGCTTGTAAATGGCAATAGCATCAACCTATAAATGTAAACAACTGCGTCTCAAAACAATTAACAATAAGATACGAAACAAGACAAAAACAAGGAAATAGATATCTATTTCTAATGACTATGGTTTTTTTAAAAAAATCATAGTCATTAGAAGTAGATTCTATATCTTATTAAAAAAATGTTGCTTTAATAAAACCATAGTCAGAAGAAATAAATTCATAAGATATAAGTGAGAGGAACCAACGGCATAAGAAATAAGAAATCTATTTCTTATGGCTATGATAAAACCGATACAAAACGAAACTCTATTTTTTTTAATTTTGTACTTAACAAATCGGTAATAACGATTGTTATTGTTTTCGATATTTTAATCAAAATTTTTAGAAGATTCGAGAAAAAGCAGATGATTTCATTAATTGCAAAAAAAAAAACGCTCAAATTTACAAAACCAGCGCAAAAAATCACAAATAATATATTATGGTTTAAAATCGTTAATAAATTTTAGTATCCTGCGCGAGTTTTTTATTTGGAACAACTGCAGGAGGTTTTAAGAAATTCAAACAAAAGTTAAAAATAAAGTTTCTAAAGAAAAAAAAAAAAAAAAAATTTAAGTATAAAACTTTTCATTTAATAAATCTAAAACATTAAAATTTTATTTTGTAATTAATGCATTCAGTACAAATAGTACAACTTTTAAATATTGCAAAGTTTATTTTTTTATTTTTTTTACGTTTTTCGTAATTGAAACATTTCACAACGCGTTACATTTAGTTGGAAAGTTTTTATTAACATAAACTTTTGTACTTTTTTACAAAACTTTTATTTTACAAAATATAAAATAAGTAAACATACATACGCGCACGTACGTCGCAAATCCCGTCGATTAAAAGTTTGTTTTTAATGAACAATTACTAAAACATTTGAAATTTATAATTATCGCCTCAAGGACACTTTAATAATTATTTAATATAAACTAAAATATTAAAAATTTATTAACTGAAAAAAATAAATTCACTTACATCAATGGACTTCTTATTAAAGAAGTAAATAAAATTAATTTTTTTTTTTTTTTTTGAACTGATTATACTTAGGCATTCAACAAAAGGCTTAGAATTGCTTTAAGCTTTTTGTTGAAATAAAATTGGTTTGTTTTAAATGCTTTCAATTGAAAATATCAGGAATGCAATTTAGAATAAGGACATATTTCAAATAATCACTTAGAAATGTTATTAATGAATTAACTTTATGTTAAATAAAAAACATAAAATGAGTCAACCAAATTTATTACGTAATCTGGGGTAAACGCAGAGCTTAGAAACATACTTAAAAATTGATGAATCAGCAAAGTTTAGTCATGATTAAACTTTATAATTTTTTGCTTAGGGTGTGGTAATATGATGTTGATAGTGTCTGTTAAATTTTTTATCTTATGTAACTAGGAAATTACTAAGCTCGGTCAAGTTCATTCGAATTTGTCTCAATTTTGAATTTTTGAATTTGCGTTCTCAAATTCGAAATAACCAAAATTCGTAAAATTTAAATTTTAATGAAATTCGAAATTCAAATTCAAATTAGTCAAATTTTGTCAAATTCAAATTTGCATTTTTCAAATTAATATTGAAATTCTTCGATTTTTTTAATTTTATTTAAGTACACTACCCAGTATAGGCACGGCCGTAGAGAAAGAGTGGGGGGTAAAGGTACATTGATCTGAGGTCCGCAAGAAAAAGGACCCTTAAGAAAAAAAAAGGGAGCAAAAAAAATAAAAAACCATTCTGAAAAAATTTCATTAAATAGTGCGTATTTCTAACCAAGTGACCATCCATAAAAGACGTCACCAATTTTAAAGCAATTTTTGACCCCTCTCCCTTTTTCCCTTTGTAACTGGTTTTCATTTTTCCCTATACCCCCTTGTAAAGAGCGTCATAAAATCTTGATCCCCTCTATTTTAACAAAAAAATTTTTTTTTTTGATCTTACATTATCTTCACAACAACACTTAGTTTTTCATATTAACAAAACTTAAAAAATCTATAAAGTTTATTTTTTATTTATTTATTTATTTTTTTCTTCTCCAGGTATACCATATAAAATATACATTTATTATCGTGATAAAAAGAAAAAATATATATAAAATTATTACCTATCAGATTGATAAAAATACATTAATATAACTTTGATACATTAATATAGTATTGATGCAAACTTAAGATAAATTCTGGTAAAATAGCTATTATATATATGATTAATTATTTTTCTATACTTTAATACCTAAAAAAAGGAAATCAAAGAAGATTCAGCATTTTTTGGTATAAAACTCCAAAAAAAATTTTTTTAGCAGATTCCCTTAATAGCGCCGTTTGGCGTATATCTATGTCTATATAAAAAGTTAATTAAGTAAAATTAGAAATAATTTTTTGTAATTAGCTTTGTAATTACTATTTCTACTGTTATATATATATATATATATATATATATATATATATATATATATATATATATATATATATATATATATATATATATATTACACACACACATAAACTAGATAGTAGATATAAAGTTTTTTTATTTTGACATCGCTTTTATAAAGTTTCTGGATTTCCGTGTTTTTCCAAACTACGCTATATGCATAAAGGAAAGAGTGTTTACAAGCTAGCTAAAAAATAAACTGTCAATTTTTATTATATTATTTCGTATATATATATATATATATATATATATATATATATATATATATATATATATATATATATATATATATATATATATATATCATATATATATATATATATACATATATATATATATATATATATATATATATATATATATATATATATATATATATATATATATATATATATATATATATATATATATATATACATAAACTAGAATTGGTTGTATTTAAAAAACGCGCTAGCTAAAAAATCTAAAACTGCTTTTTAATGTGACAAGTTAGTATGTCAAAATTTTACTTTAGCTTCCATAATAAAACCTTTTTCCAACGGAAATTTCCGTGTTTCAAAATTTATTTTAAAAGAAGAGAAATTTCCGTTCAATTTTGTTGGGTAGTTTCCGTACAAATAACGGAAAATAATTCCCTAAAAGTACGGGAATTTTTAACAGTGTAGATGATAATTAGATACAATAATAACATAAAATGTAACATTAATAACACAATAATAAATAAATATAAGATAGGTAAATAATAAATAAAGTAAAAATCAAACCACTTGTTTGTTAAAAAGGTTATATATTGAAGACAACTACAGTATAGAGAGAAATTATAAAGAAATACACTCCGACAATATATTTTTAAATTGAACTTTGTTGAGCAGTAAAAAATTCGTAACAAGTGGATATTTTTTCTTAGACTTTTTTATTAATGCAGGAATACACTGGTTCCATTGAGAAATACATTGTTGTTTTATGAAAAACTTACCATATTTGATTGTGTTGAAAAAAGAATAGTAAAGCTTACTATTTTCTGTATTCCTGATGTGATGATTATGAACTTCGTTTGTTTTAATAAAAAAATTTGAAAAAGGGCTTGGTAGTTTATTTTGGAGAAAGTCAAACAAAAAAAGACAATTGTAAAACTTTACAAGATTATGGAGTTTTAGGATTTTTAGTTCAGAAAATTTTTTTTCGATATCAGATCTCATTTGGGAAAACGTCATTATTCTAATAGATGCGCGTTGTAAACTAGCAATGTTATTAAGTAAAAAATTTCTTTTTTAACCCCAAACAATACAACAATAGCAAAGGTGAGAAGAGAATAAAGAAAAGTAAATCATTCGAAGAGTTTGAATAGAAACTAGAAACGAATTAGAGAAAGCATACTGTCAGCTCGTGTTTTTTTTTAGATGATACAGTTGATTATACCAAGATAGGTTTTCATCAAGATGTATTCCAAGATACTTTATATATTTTGATGGAAAAAGTTTTTTACCGTTAATTTTAATTTTAATATGATCAATAGTTTTTTGAGGGGAATGAAAAATAATGTATTCAGTTTTATTGACATTCAAGGAAATACGGTTACTATTTAATTAGTTACATAAGCGATGAAGATCTTGATTAACTTTTTTACAAAGAGTCGTGAGGGACTTGTTGATATATAAAAGATTGGTATCGTCAGCATAATAATGTATCATAGAATTTTTTATGAACAAGATAAATCATTTATATATAATAAGAACAACTACGGTCCAAGAACGGAACTTTGTGGAACCTTGTAATAACTTTATGTGTGGATTCAAATCAATTAACTGAAACAAACTGAGTGCAATCCGTAATATATGAAGAAAACCAATGGTTAGCAATACTACGTATTCCGTAGTAGTTTAACTTTTTTATTAGAATGTTGTGATCAACCGTATCAAAAGCTTTTTGAAGATCTATGAATACACCACAAGCAAAAGAACCACTGTCAATTGCACCACGAATCATTTCAGTAATGCTAATAAAAGCCTGAGAAGTGGAGTGGTTTAAGCGAAACCCAAATTGTCGAATATGAAAACAAGCAGAATTATTCAAAAAGTTGTAAATACGAGAATACATAAGTTTTTCTAAAAGTTTGCTGACATTTGATAATAATGAAATTGGTCTGTAGTTATTACATTCAGGTTTTAAGTCTTTTTTATGAATTGGGATAACAGAAGCAGTTTTTAAAATATCAAGGAATACACCGGTTGTAAATGACAGATTAAATAGTTCAGAAAGTACAGGAGAGTTATCATTTGCAAGAGCGTTAAAAATAGGTATTGGAATGCTGTTAGGTCCCGAAGCCTTTCTGTCATTAAGAGAATGAATAATTGATAATACTTCGTTTTTGTCTGTAGGTTTTATGAACATTGAATTAAGATTAGGATTTTAAAGATATTTATTAAAGTCAGTATTGGATGAGTGGATCTTATTCTGTAAATCTTCCGGAACTGAAACAAAGAATGAATTAAAAGATTCCGAAATTTTAATGGGGTCGTATATCATGGAGTTGGTAGAAGATAAGCATGAAGGAGATGAGTTAACTCTCGTACTAATGTTTAAAAGGTTCTTAATACCATCCCATGTAGATTTCAAATTTTTGACATTGTCAGAGAAGAACTTAGAGTAATGGTTCTTTTTACTACGACGGGTGAGAGTAACAAGTAAGTTTCTATATGTTTTATAAGATTTTTCTAGATTGAGTTTGTTATTGGGATTCTTTGCTTTAAGAAATTTGTTAAATATTTTATCTCGAATTTTAATAGAAGTCAAGATTCCTTGTGTTATCCAAGGTTTGAGACCCCTTGATAAGCAGCAATTGCTGACTTTTTTTAATGATGCATGTTTATCTAAAAGAGAATTGAAACTTGAGAAAAACTCTTTTAATGACTTATTAGTCTTACCTTCGTTGACATTGATTATATTAGTCCAGCTAATTTTTGAGAAATCACTACATAATTCGACGCAATTTATTTGTTTTAAATTTCGACGAAAAATGCAGCTTTTACGAGTATTAATTTTGGTTCTATAAAATGGATGTATTAAAAATTGGGGCAAATGATCTGATACCGTAGAAGTAAAATTACCGGCAAATATATTTGAAGAAGTTGCATTAGAAAATATGTTATCAATTAGAGTTTTGGAGTGATTTGTGATTCTTGTTAGCAATGAAATAAAGGGAAGAAAGTTATTTAAAGCAATAGTGTCTAAAAATTCAGAGACAGAATTATCTGAGTTTGCTAACAAAAGATCGACATTAAAATTGCCTATTAAAAAAGTAGTTTTGTTTTTTTCCATAGACAGCTTTTCAAAAAGTGAAATTAAATATGATTTAATAAATTCTGAAATATCCATACTAGGATGGCGATAAATACAGCCAATAATGATGTTTGATTTTTTAGGATTTATGATTTCCACAAACACAGATTCTAAAGCTTTGGTTTAAGCATATTAAGTTTATTATATGTAATTCTATGTTAACTATGTTAAAAAGCATCTTAATGTCTCTATGTGAATAAAACAGAGTGGTCATCCGCATCATCATCATCATCAGCCTTACGCTTATGGAGATTTAACTTAAT